TGAGCTTTGAAGTCCAAGTGATTGAATTTTGGATCGATCCAAAATTAAATCGAATTAGACTTTAGGTCATGTAAAATGGTAAAAAAAAAAAAGATTAATTCGAAACAAACTCAAATGAACTCAATTCAATTAAACGCTTTAGCTGGCTCAAATCAAAACGTTCAGATTAGGTTTAAAAACTGAAAAAACTCGAATTAATCTAGATAAAATAAAATGTCTACAGTGATAATGGACTGGCGTACATGAATGAGAGTTCATATATCCTAGAATGAATGTCATTAGCAATTTTTTCAAGTAAATTGCACCATTATAATTCCATGATGGTTTTGTTAAATTTCAATTTTCACTTATTACCTAAAGTGCTTGATTTTTTTTCATTCGTGATTCATCAATACTTCATTAGAATTTGAATAGGATATTAACGAAGTTTGTCCACTTTGTAAAAGCAATATAAAGAAAGGGATGAGAGAAAGGCTACCATGGCAGAAAACCCTTTTTTTTTTCACTTTTTTTTTTAACGAGAATTTTTATTTAACTCATTTTTTATTAATTTAATTAATTTTGATATAATAATATTGGGCCTTAAAATTTAATTTAGGCTCAATTTTGAACTTTAGATTTCAATTAGGCTTTGAAGTCCAAGTGATTGAATTTTGGATTGATCCAAAATTAAATTAAATTGGACTTTAATTCATGTAAAACGGTCAAAGAAAGATTAATCCGAGGCAAGCTCAAACAAACTTAATTCAATTAAACACTTCAGCTGGTTCAAATCAAAACATTCAAATCAAGTTTAAAAATCGAATAAACTCAAATTAATCTCAACAAAATTAAGTGTTTACAATAATAATGGACTCGCGTACATGAACGAGAGTTCATATATCCTAAAATAAATGTCATTAGCAATTTTTTTGAGTAAATTGTACCATTATAATTTCATGATGGTTTTGTTAAGATTCAATTTTCACTTGTGATCTAAAGTGCTTGATTTTTTTTCAAATTCATCAATACTTCATCAGAATTTGAATAAGATATTGACGAAATTTGTCCACTTTGATGGATATACACCTAACAAATTTTATCTAAATTTCAGTGGTACAATTTGATGTTAGATGAAATGAAAATGAAACTTTGTAAAAAGATCACGAACTACTATTAAGTGTACTCAACTTTTTCTCATCCTTTCCAATTGGTTGGGATTTTGACCCCTAACAAATTAACTATAATTTTCCATTTGGACCCATAGTCATATATATAAATAGATAGTTATCCAAACCGCTTGATTTTAAACCCGATTCAATTGAATATGATAAAAAAATTAAAAATTTGAATTTATTTAATTTAAATCGAATTAACTCATTTTAAATTAATTTAATTTGTAAATGAATCAAAAAACTTAAAATTTTAATAAAAAATAATTTAAAATTAAATAATTTAACTTTAAAATTTAATAAATTAAACCCGAACCAAATTTAAATAATTTAATTATCAAATTTAAAATTTTTGAAATCAAAATGATTTAAATTTCAATCAATTCGAAATTTTCTTTAACTTAAAAAACCCAACTCGAAATAACTCGACTGAAATCACCTCGTCGATTGACCCCTCCTGTACACTATTTGGCTTGTGCCTTTCTAATTGTGTAGGGGAGCTTCCCATGCAGCAATTCGAAAAAATGTCAGCTAAGAAATTGTGTGAAAAGTCACGTGAAGGACGATGTTGTTTTCATCATAAAAGAAAGGTCTAGCTTTCTAGCATAAATTCTAGCCGTCCTTATCTCTGAAATCTAAAGGTTTCTAACCTATCCTATCCTTTTTTTTTTTTAAGAAATTACTAAATTAATTTTCTATTTTACTACTTCTTCAGCTTTGAGCCTAGCCTGTAGTATTCATATAATTATTTTTCAGAATTATTCTCTTTGAAAAAGCAAAGCCTTGTTGAAATGAGCCTAATTTGTAGACTTCAGGCTGCATAATTTATAGGCTTTTCAATCTGCTCTTTCTTTTAGGGGTCAGGGTCGGTTCTGGGTTTTGACCTAACTAAATAACCAGCTGATCAAAGAATTTTGAAAGTATTTTCCTTTTCGTTAGGCCGCCATTACAATATTTTTGCAAGATTGTTTAGACTTATTAGATTTCAGTGATTCTTTTTCATGAGGTCTGACCTAATTATCGAATCCATTGATAAACAGGATGATAAAGGATTCTACGATAGAGATTATTTATTCTTTTTTATTCTTTTTTTTTTTTTTGTCGAGGGATGAGAAAGTATTAGGTGGTGTCAATTGTGGAAGTGATTTCAATTGAGTTATTTTAAGTTGGGTTCTTTTGATTTTATTTCGAATTTAATTTGATGAATTGTAACGTTTTACCTTTCAAGAGTTTATAGTTACCTTTTGATACTACTATCATTGCTTTTTATGTACTTAGGGGTGGATTTAATCTGGAAATTATCAAAACTTTTTTTTTTTTTTTTTATGAATATTCTCATTCTTACGGATAAGTACCAAGGGTGAAAATTATTCTTTGATTACTTGAGGAATTAAATAATGGTAAAGATTTAAAAAAAATCAACCAACACTCACCAACATCAATTTACCACAAAACCAATAGAAAAACTATACTTATAAAAACCAAGAATATCCAACATGTTAATAACAATTAAAACTAAAAAACCTAATATTCTCACTGATTTGGATTGGTTTGAAGGAAATCACACCAAATTAAAATATTTTGGTTTTTAAATTTTTGGATTGGTTTACCTTTCAAGCTATTTTTTTTTTTATGCGATTTGCTTTATTCAGTGTTTCACTTTCAGCAATGGCATTAATTACTCCAAGTACTACTACTTGGAAATGATTCCCATAACTTCAAAATCAGCTTTATTTCCTTTTCACTTCTCCAAATATGACATTATTTACTCAAACTGAATCACGTTACTCCATTTGATTATTTCTGGGGTTTCCTAGCTAGTTTGGCAGATATATTAACTCATATTTTAAGATCCTAAAAATCCTTAACAAGTTCTTTAATGTAGAAAAAGAGAATCCATTTGATGAGAATATGTACATCAAATTAACCGATTCTAATTTTTAAGTTTGTCCATTATTATTTATAAGCATGATGTTTTAATCAATTCCGGATATAACATTCATTCAAGTTGATAAAACAATTTTTAATGATGTATTTCATTTTGATTGACTAGTTGATAAAACCACTCCATGCAACCGTGATAGTTGAAGTACAAAATTAGATTCAATGTCATCATGAATATTTCTTTTAAGTGAAAAACTATAGTAGCATATTATGATCTTGGGTACGAATTTAAGCACTCATTTTATTTTATTTAATATAATTGTTTCATGAATTTCTCCTTCACATATTATTTTTCCTACCGATGAACAAATAAAACAAGTAGACAAGATATTTTTCATTTATATATTTCAGAGTACTTTTGTCTAAATACAAATCACGATGTTGGTATCATCACCCCAAAGTGTGTACATTGTCTGCATAAACATCGGGATCGAAAAAGACAGATGAAAGCACAGTAACCGAAGGTCATGAACCAAATGATTAAAATTCATCTCTCTCTTTCTTTACTAACCATTAAAAAGAATTTGCCCTATATATTCAACATTTCTGTAAATATGAATTGCAAAAGTTAGTTGGCTCTTTTGCAGATGCACACTGACTCTGCATTCCCTCAATGATTCTTGGAGTAGTCTTTGCAAAAAGGCCTGGTCAAAATATGAATTATAAAAGAGCTTGATGATCAGAAAAAAGTATGTTATGAAAGTTAATTATGCTTGGGATTGCAGTCAAATGAGACAGGAAAAATTTAAGTCGATTAAGCTATAGTTCATTCAACAAGTGGCTGCAGCTGAACTAACCTATCTGATCTCTCTCATTTTTTTTTAATTTAGGAAAGAGCACCGGCCAGATTCATTCAAACCTAAATCTCTTTTAGATCAACTTGATTGATTGAGTTGATAAAATTCAAATTATTTATAAAGTCTAAGTTTAAATCTAAAAACGAGCAATTCAATTAATAAATTATTTGTAAATTTAATGTAAATCCTTTTTAAAGTCTACAGTCTGCTCTACCTTGAAATGAAAAACTTCCTCTCACCTTAAACTTTCTTCGACCAAAAAAAATCTCTTTTAATCCATCCGCTCTTTAGTGATTGACGTCTCAAGTTGGCAAAGTTACAGGTTGGTATTTTAGTTTGCTTCCGAAAAGGAAAAAATATCATACCCCTTCCCCGGTGGCCTAGTTCTTAGCCAACTACAACAAGGGTCCATTGGTATTCCGTCAATCCCTTGTATAGGACACTTGAAACACTTTATATTCTCGAATAAAGTAACCCTGTCCCCTAAATGTTACAACATTTGCATGTGTGTGTGAATATGTCTATCAACCAAACCAAACCGCATAATTTAGTCAAGAATATGGCATTACTCAAGTAGCCACATTCATTCAATCCCTTATATATACTAAAAAAAACTTTGCTATGATTAATTTCTCATATATGTATTAATTCGATTGTGGTTTTTGAAGAAGAAAAAGAGAAAGAAAAGAAAGATTGTTGTTTGTTTTAGCAAAAACCATCAAGCATCTTTCACCTTGTAAGTTGATGCCACCCTCAAAACCTTCCCCTTTCCCTCTTTCTAACCCTAACCCTATATTCTTTTGTCTGTTTCCCATGGGCCCATTCACCATCTCTCTCTTTCTTGAGAGTGAGTGAGTGACTGTGTTTGAAAATTTTATTGAGTGATGAGAGAGTGTACTCTTTTTTTGTGCTTCCTGCGATGGCACTACAAATCCCACGTTTTTCTCAGTCTGCCTTTACCTACTTTGTAGTGATAGTTTCTTGAATTTCCTTTTTTTTCTGTTTTTTTTTTCTTTGCTTATAATTGTTGTGTTGTTTGATCATAAATACGTACTTTGGCTTTGGGCTTATTAATTTTTTGTAAGAGTCTGTGTTTGTGTTGTTGTTGTTGTTGTTCTCTTCCTCACTCTTCTCTTTGTTTTCTTTTGCTTAAAAACCTAACTCAAAGCAAAAATAATAACTGTTTGATATCAGCAAAAAAAGATGTCAAGCTCCAACAATTCTGCACCGGAACAACTCTGCTACATCCCTTGCAACCTTTGCAACATCATTCTTGCGGTATTTGATTTTGATCCCTATACCCTGTTTTTTTTCTTATTTAATGTTGTATGTTTCAAGATTTGAGTCATAGTATTTTGTTGGGGTTTTTTTTTTTTTTTTTTAAATTTTAGGGTGTTCTGGTAATGAAGTCAGGTCACTATCCTAAGACTTCTTTCTCATTCTTTTGCAGAAAAGTCATAAATTCTTTTGAATTTTTTTTTTCTTTTGCAGATCTTACCCTCTGAGAGAAGTTATTGCATATGGATCTTAAATTTTTATTTTATATTTTTTGGAAGATACAAAACAAGCATGTGATGATGATATATTGAATGAAGATGACATTTCCTTCATATTTTCTCTGATTACCTTAACCTTTTCCTTATTGAAATACTGATCAAGTACCTGCTGCCTTGATTTCTCTTTGTGAAACCCAAAAGCTTCTTTCTATTTAACTGATTGTGGAAAATGAAAAGGACTACCTCAGTTGTCTTCCTCAAAAACCCCATTTTCATGTAGAAAACATGTTTCCGAACGATGACAAACTCTAGGGAGTGTTGAGTCTTGACCAGATCAAAAAAATAAAGGAACAGAAAAGAAATACAAAGCCCTTGATATTGAAATCTTAAAAGTGCTTTATATACTTTCAAAAACCCTTATCTTTTTGCTTTGAAAGTTCAATTTGTTTCAACAGGTGAAGATCATGAAAAGATCCCTTGTTGTTCATTTATATATCATACTTGGTTTCCATTGAAAGATCATAAATTCTATATCATAACTTTTTTTTAGATTTATAAGAAAACCTTAAATTTTAACAAGCAGATCATATTTTTTATGTAAAAGGGTTTCATAATCTAAATTATTTTACATGATTTTTTCAGGTGAATGTTCCATGCAGCAGCTTGTTTGAAACCGTGACTGTCCGATGTGGTCAGTGCGCCAATCTGTGTTCGGTAAACCTGGCAACTTCATTTCAATCGAGGGCTGGAAAAGATATTCAGGTGATGATCATGGTTTTGTTTTAAAGAAAATTATTTTCCTTTTTTTTCAAACATTTTTGGGGAAGATCTAGCTAGGGTTTCTGGGATTTTGTCAATTTCTAAGGAAAGTCTAGTAATTTTTTCATCGGGGCTTGAAATCTAGGGTTTCTAACCCTCGTTTTCCTTTGAGAAAACAAAAGACTAGTTGATTTCAAGCATCTTTTGTCATATAGGCTCATAGCACTGAAAAAGCCCTAAGAATTGCCCTAAGGACCCATAAATAAAACCTAATTCTTGAAGGTTTTGTTTAGAAATCAGGATCTGGGCTGGCCAATTAGGGCAAATCAAATTTTTTTAGGGATTTTTTTTACTTTGCTACCATTGAGCCGCAATTTGAAAAAAATTTACTTTGATTTTGATTGACATGAATGTTAAGGTTTGTAGGTTTGGTCACTATACTGATTTTCCTTTTTTTGTTTTCCTTAAGTTTTGTCTTCTACTATACCAAATTTCAAAGCCTCAGTTTTTAGATCCCAAGAAAACTTTGTTCTTCTTCTTTTTTTTTTTTTTTAATTTTTCTCTGCCAAAAGAAAAAAAAAGAAGCATCTTTCTCCCATCAAACAGAAGCTTTTTTGATTGATTTAGTCACTGAAGTGTTGTTGTTTTCTTTGCTTGTTTCTTTTTTTCACATTTATGGGAGAAATTAAATTTTAATAAAGTTTAAAAAAATCTTTGGGAATAAGTAAATGGATAACACTAGTATTTTTGCAGACCAAAATTTACAAAACGAGATCCTGCATTGACAATCAACAAAATAGATCCCTGTCTAGTACTTACAGAAGAACCAAGAAATTTAATGAGGTCACATGTTTTGAACATATACATGAAAAATTTTCTGAATATGTGAGTTTGTATGCAGGCAACCCTTAAGGCTATATGAACAGATAGTTCCGAGTCAATACAAAAGCACACCCATAATCTTTCTAATTCTCTACTAACTCCACATTTAGGTACAACAATGATATTAAAACTTTGGTTAGATAAAGTGGGTTTAAACCAAGTTTAAGATCCCTTTCTTGCATTTGATTTTCATGTTTTTCGTTATGTTATTTTCAAGTTCAAATGGTGTTCTTGTGCATCCAATGTTCAGGATTTAGTTGCTTGGTTAGCTCAAAGAGCATCCTTTTTTCTTTTTTTTTTCAAAGTTTCTTGTTTATAATTTCTTCTTTCCTTTTGTTTTTATTATTATTATTATTATTATTATTATTATATATAAGAAAGATGTAAAAGTAAAAGAATTTTACATATTTTCTAACTATTAATTTTAATAGATCAAAGGATGAGAGAGATAAATAAAAATTAAGAAAAAATTGTTTAATTTTATCTCTTGAATATATTGAAATCAATAGTAATTAGAAAATTGTGTAAAACTTTTTTAATTTTATACTGTATAAGTTGATTTGTCTTATTATATATATATATATATATATATATATAGTTAATTAATGTTGGTTTGGTGGAAAATAATTTTGAATGTTTCAGGTGGCTAATAACTATACTTCGTCGGAGTACCGATTTGACTTAGGCTCTTCTTCCAGAAGCAAGAACAAGCTACCAAAGCGAGCACCAACCATCACTACCACTCCGGAAACGGTTGTGAATCGACGTGAGTAACCTATCTTACCCTAGATGATTGATTCTGTTTATTTCTATAACTGTTGGATCGAGTTTCATTCTCTTAAGTACATTTTATGGACTTTTTTTTTTTGTTTTTCAGCTCCTGACAAGAGGCATAGGGCGCCTTCATTGTACAACCAGTTCATCAAGTAAGTAATAGTAACTGTAATTTTTGTTCATTTTTTCATGATGAATACAGAAATTGTTTTATCTACATATAGGGAGGAGATTCAAAGGATCAAGCTGAACAATCCTGATATCACTCACAGGGAGGCATTTAGCACTGCTGCCAAAAATGTAAGTGAACATTGAAGCAATGATCAAATAAATCTCACATTTCATCGAATTTGAAAGTATAATCAGATTAGCAATTAATCAATAACAGACTTTGGTTTATGTGTTAATTATTTGGATTTTTTATCCTGATATACTATAGTGGGCACGCTTCCCTCACATCCATTTTGGACTGATGTTGGAGACTGACAGTCAACCTAAGCTGAATGATGTAAGTACTTTCATTTAGAGGTAAAATGTATAATTATTCTCTTTTCTCTTCTCTCACTTATTGTTGATGAAAATTAAAATTAATAATTGGTATATTTATGTCATATTTATTTCATGTCAATAATGTGTAAAATATGAAAATTACTATTACAATTCGAATCAATACATCAAATACAAAATAACTTTTTTTTTTTTTATTTTTACCCAACCCATATATTATTTATGTAAAAAATTTTATACCTTATTGCTTTTATGTCTTTTTTATGTAGTAGTTAAAATTGTTGGGTTTAATGTTTTGAAGGATAATATAGTTGGATTCATCATTAAGCTAGTTTGTTTTGTGTTCTTTAAATTCATGATTGAACTGTTTTTTTTTTTTTCTTACATTTATTTCATGAATATGGCAAGCTCGATCTTGTTCTGATTCACTATACTTTCCATGGTTTTCATTTTTCTTTTCTCTTCAATGCATGTCTTTGTCCAGGACTCGACTGAGCATTTCCAACAGCTGCTTAAGTGAATAAATGGCTATTGATTTCGAAGATCATTTTAGTGATTATATATCTATTTATGTTGGTGAAGACTTGAAGTAAAAGGCTTTCATTATGAGGGCTGAATGAACCTAAATTGTTTGTTTAAATGCATTTGAACAAGTTGCTTTATCTGTCAGTAATTCTATGTAATGATTGAAGTTATTAAATATTGACTTAAAAACTTTTCACTATGTTAATTAATTTAGGCATATGATCTTTTTCTATATTATATACTTTTTAAAATTTAAAACCCCAAGATATCAAACATTTGACTCGATAATTGATATATAAAATATTTATGAATTTAAATTCATCTTTTTCTAAATAAAAAACAAACTCATCATTTTGAACATCCACATATGAAAAATAGTGTTTTATATTGCATGACTAGCAACTGGTCATGCATCAGCTGAAAGAAGCACTGAAAGTTCAATAGGAGGGATCGTAGAATCTCAATATCTGTATACATATCACAATCCAATTTTGCCAAAGCATTAAATTTCCTTTCCTCTATGCTAATATTACTATATATTGAAGCTTTTATTGTCTATCTACATAATTAGATTTTTGGTGATTGAGGTTAAAAAGCTTTGTCTACAAACTTATCATCCACAAAATAAAAAGAAACCATATATCTTTGATATATGTCTTGGTTTATAGTCAATTTGAGTCTAATAAACTAGATTTCATCATTTGGCAAAAAAAAAAAAAATTCATAATTGCTCTATTCCTCTTAATTTGGAACTCAAATCATTTGCCACATTAGCATTTAGCCATGTACCATCCTATATCCTTCATAATGCTACTAAAACTCTTTAGCAAATGCTACAATGCAAGTTGTCTTCTGTCTATTGCATTTTTTAATTTTTGAGATAACCATAATTAAATTAAAAGTTTAGTATTTTTTCAATAGATCATATAATTGTTAGCTTCTATCTAATATTACATTAATCAACTTACTTTTACACTTAATTTTACAGGAGTCTGCCTGATATAAAGTGCTTTTTTATTAGTCTTTCATTTCTTTTTTTTTAATTGAATTTATTTTTTAAGTCAGAAATATATGCATTTATTATTAAATCAAATTTTTAAATAAAAATTGTTTATACTTTTAAAACAAATAAAAATAAAACACAATTATATTTGGGTTTTCGAGTTGGCACAAAGTTTTCAGTATTGGGGATGTGACATAATACTCACAATCTGCTACAACAATATGTAAGTTGTACTAAAATACAAAGTATTGAGTTAAATTAAAGTTTTTATTTCGTGTTTTGTGTCATGTTTAATACGTATAATAATATGAATTATTAAAATATAAATATAATATGAATTATTAAATGTATTTTAAATCTTAAATATGAATGTAACATATTTAATATACGTGATAAATACGATATGATATGATTAACATGAATAAAAAATTTATTTAAATGTGACATAAATAAATAAAAATAATAAAATATACATAAATAAATACGATTAATATGAATATGTACGAATAAATACGATTAATACGAATATATACAAGAACACGACTAAAATAATAAATAACTATAAATTATCTATCATTTACAACTGAATAAATTTGATATATTAGTAATATGAAAAATACTTACATATTAAAAATAAAAAAATTTAATACTCATTTAATAAATATTTAATAAATATTTTTTAATTTTAATTTATATTATATAACTATGTTAATTTTTAGTATTAAAGATTAAAGAATAAAATAATAATGTATAAGACTAATATTAATATTTATATTGTATTTATATTATTAATATACAAAATAATTTTATAATAATTATTAAATGAGTATTATAATTAAATGTTTAAAATAATTTTTATATGTTTATATTAAATTAAAATAAATATAAAAATATGTTAAACGTATATTTATATGATAATATTAAATTAAACGTATTATTCACATTATATTATGTATTTAGACGAATTAATATATATATCACATGAATTATGTGATATTAAAATTAATATCAAACGAAAATAAAATATATAATATATATATAATTTTTTCATATCATTTAATAAAAATATTAAATTCTATAAATTTCACGCGGTTTCCTAGAATGGAAGTTTCATTTATTTTGTAGCCATTAATTAGGTCGGTGGGATGCTACAAGTTTCCCAAGACATGGAGTCATCACCGCTTGAAATCCTCAAATCCGTTGGCGCGGCAGAAACCGGAGGCTGGATAGTAAGTAGACAAAAGGCTAAGTGTCATGGTCTCAAATGGAACCGTAAATCTTAGGTTGTATTAAACTTCGCCTGAATTTACAAGTGTTCAACCATTTTCAATCAAATATTTCTATAAACTAAAATCACGTGCTTTAATAAACCGAAACAGATAATATTTTATAAATTAACGTAAATTTTCACATAAAATTTATTTTTGCAGTCTTTCGCTTCTTAATTTAATAATAAAATTTTTTTATGAAAATATAAAAATTTTTAATTTGAATTAGGATCTTTTCTTTTTTTTTTTTTTATAAAATCTCGTCTCATTTCTCCTTTATAAAGATTATGTCTTCCTCTTAAAAAAAATTATTTCACACAGAATTTGTTCTCAATATTTGGGCTGAAATAGTAAAGCACCATAATTTTTTTGGAGGCCATTCTTTCTTTTTTTTCATAGTATTATTTTTATTAAAAATGTAGTCTGGTACCATTAATGCTGATTTATTTTTTTCTTTTTCTAATTGGAGATGAAATTTTGTAATGAATATTCAATTGATTTTATTTATATATTAATTTATTAATTATTTTAAATATTTTTTAATATATATGTGATAGCTTTTTAATTTTATTTGTCAAATTTAAAAATCTCATCACTATGAATTTTTTTAAAAAATAGTATTTTTTTTTCAGATGTAAAAAAAATCTAATTATCTATCACCTCCTTCCACGTAAGCCAGGCACGCGCCGTTCAATCACAAACCAACCGTTTCAAAGCCCTATGCATAAAGCCGACGTGCCCCAGACGGCCGAACCCAAACACCCAAAACCCCAACAAAACTGACCAAGAGCCCCAAATTCCATCGACCAAAAATGGCCAGCTTCGCCACCTTCTACACCACCTGGAACGACCAACTCCACCACCTTCTGCGGCAGCTATGCTCAGCCCCTAAACCACCCACCACCCAAGACCACCTTCACCACTTGAGCCATCTTGTCGACAAAGTTCTCTCCCACTACTCTGAGTACTACAGAGTCAAAGCTGCTGTTGTCGAACGTGATGTCTTGGAAGTTTTCGCTGCTCCTTGGGCTTCTTCCTTAGAGAAAAGCCTCCATTGGATTGCTGGGTGGAGACCAACCACGGTTTTCCATTTGGTTTATACTGAGTCTAGTATTTTGTTTGAATCCCACATCGTTGATATTCTTCGTGGGATGCGAACTGGTGATCTTGGCGACCTCTCCCCCAGCCAGTTCAGGTGAAACCAGCTACTTACCTTTTTTTTTTTAATTTGAAGCTTCTCAAAATTATAATTTTCAAATTATAACTTCAAATGTCTTAATAATTTTTTCCAATTATCTCTTTAAATTTGGTAATAAAAAGTTTCTTCAAATATTATTTTTTTATTTTCTTTTGTTGAAATTTTAATTTGCAACTTTTGAGATGATTTTGAATGAATGATATAATTGAGAATGCATGACAATTTTGGTCTTACTCAAGCATGCATGACAGTTGTTAACAACTCATATATAATTTTCCTTATATTAACTTTTTAATTTTTTATTATTTGATCTTATAATTAAGAATTTATGTTACAAAAGCATAGACAAATATATAAATAATAATATAATATTATGCATATAATAATCATACATGAAAATTACAATTGATTAATTATTGATATTTAATTATGTACCCATAAAAACATTATTATAAAAGTTGAAAGAAAATTTTAGTGTTTGCCTTCCAAGCAAAGGTGTATAAAAATTATTAGATTAACAAAAATGTTAAAAAATGAAAGGTTTTTTAAACATAAATTATTAATTTTACATATGTTCATAAAAAAATAAATTTATTTATTTTAATTAAATTTAAAATAAATGTGAAACAGGAGAGTGAGTGAGTTACAATGCGAGACGGTGAAGGAAGAAAATGCTATAACTGATGAATTATCTGAGTGGCAGCATAGCATAGGAGATCTTATGGGCACATTCACTGAGGTTGATCAAATGATCGGACGGTTGGCAAGCGTTGTTCAGAAGGCAGATGATCTACGATTGAGAACCCTCAAGAAAGTGGTTAACTTATTGACCCCACAACAAGCTGTAGAGTTCTTGATTGCTGCCGCCGAGTTGCAGTTTGGCATTAGAGAGTGGGGGATGAATCAGGACGGTCAACGTACTTTTTGATGTATTGGTTGATTAAGATCGAATGGTGATTAGAGTGTGATAAGAGGATGGCACATGGGTAATGAATAATGTCTGCACATTTTGGTGTTGGGCTTTAATTTTGTTTATCCTTAGAATTAAAAATTAAAATTTTATTGAAATTAAGATTAAGGGGTTGGGAGGAGACAAAAGGCCGAATTTTGGGTGTCGCCGCCGCCGCGGTTGCAGCTTCGTTAAAATGGGAGGAACATTGATTAATTTTGCGGCACAAAGAAGTATCTATACGTGTCTCCTTAGTGTCTGTATTGTAGCATGCATGGCGACACTTGTTTTGTATGTTCTATTGTTGGTGTCGTCTCCTCTAAAACTGTATAGCCAAGACAAGATTTTTTACCATTTTAGTTAGTGTTCACTGATCTTAAAGTTGCCTTTTGGAGCTTTTCTTAAAATGGATCGTCTTAGCTATGCTTGTTTTGATTAAGGAAGAATCCTGTGACCGTAAAGTAGCCACAGTTCGAATGTCGCCATATACAGTTTTTTTTTTTTAACAAATTGAGTTTGTAATTTTGGATAAAAAAATTATACATATTAAAATTTAAACTTCATATTTATTAAATATTATTTTTTAAAATAATTATATAAATCAATCGAGTTAAATACTAAATTTGTTTATATACAGTTTTATGTAAATTTATTAATTTATTTAATTATTGATAAAATAAAATTTTAATTTATTAATTAATTTTTTATACGTAATAGTACTATCATATTTGCTAAGGATCATTTAGCTGAGATGTAATTTTGATTATTTAGTTGAGATATATTTGTTATGAATATAAATGTCTTACCTTGGAAGACAATTTTTATTCTAATTTTTTAAAATAAATTTTGAATTATCTAAGACTAAATACTTGATACATGATTTAATGTTATGACCAATTTTCAAATAAGGACAAAATTGATTCAAATTTTTATAAAATGTTTTTTTAATTTAAATAAAACTTTTTAACATCCTTATAAATGCCTTCTATCTCCATTTTTGAGAGCAAGTATTCCGAGAAAAAAAATTTTTCCTCGAGGAAGGGATGATTTGAATTTTAATCTTTTGAACAAAGGTTGGATCATGAATCAACCAATTAAATCAACATGTTCAGATGTGATTTGAAGAAATAAGTTGACTGGATTAATCCCAGAGTACTGAGATAACTTGGATGGTATTAATTAAAAAATGCTTGAAATATAAAGTTTTTTTTTCCAATATTGGGATTAATTAAAATCTTTATGTTTTAATACGAATACTTTTAATGTTTATTTCTGGAATATTTTTGTCACGTCAATGTCATGTCATTAGATACATGGCCATTGTCATATTGCAATTGTGTTTCTTATTTTTCTTTTCACATTTTTTACGCTATATTATTTTATGTTTTTTTTTTCTATCAACTCTTAATGGAGTTGTCATTTCCAACACAACGAAAGTGAATTTTATCAATAAGTGATTAATTTAGTTGATTAAAAAAAATTTTTTAAACAAAATTTTTAATTTAAATTTTATTGGTGATCACTTGTTAAGATTATTTCGAATGTATGACTTACAATCACCTATTTTAAGTTGTCAGATATAGTACATCTTATCATGACACGAATGATTGAACAGTCTATCTATCTTCAAATTTTTTTTACAAAAAAAAAAGTGAATTTTGGGTTATAATTTGTGAATTATTTTAATTAGGTTCGTTTTTCTTTAATTAAAAATTATGATCGGATATTGTTCAAAATTTTATAAGTTTCTAATTTTTCAAGATATTATTAAGATCTATCAAGGATTCTAATTGAGGCATGATTTATCCTTCACTGAATTCTGGGTTTTCCCTCTTTCTTGCAGTTTTATACTTTGAATTAATCTTGAGGCATTGATTCAAAGAAAAATGCTACTTCAATCTGTCAATTTACCCAGACTTTTGGAGAAGATTTGACAAGCATAGCAATTCCTTTTCATACATTCCATTTTTAACATTCACGATTTGAATGAAAAATATTCGTTGACATGTAATAATTGTTTCGTACAATTCTTTTTTTTTTATATATATATTAATCTTAAAACCCTCAATTCGTTTTCTTAATTCGTGTGCTTTGAGAAGTCTTAACCTCTATAATACTCAATTGAAGGGATGCTGCCACAATCTTCGGTGGAATGAAAATTTCATGGGTCACGAGCAGATAACGTGACAAATCATATCATTTTTTTTATTAATATTTTGAATGAAATTTATTAAAATAATTAAAATAATTTTAATAATTTTATTGGAATAAATTAAAATTTAGTAAATTATTTAAAAATTTATATGATAATTTAATATATTGGTTTGGAAGTTCTAGATTTTGGGTCAACGGCACTTTTTTTTGTGGTTAGATGTATTTTTAAATAAAAATATAAAATTTACTCATACCTAATAAAAAATTTAATTTTTTTATTCAAATAAGAATGAGTATTATATTGTGAAAAGGAAAATAGATATGATTTTAAATTTTTATTGGATATGAAAATAAAAAAATAATAATATAATATCTATTTTATATATGTATACCCATATTTTACATATATATTTATATATATTTAATAAATAAAATTTTATTAAATAATATAAATTATTATTTTAAATTAATTAGAATTAATATATTTTTATTTGAAATATATATTTATAAAAAATTATTTAAATATACAAGATAAAAATAAAATAATAAATTTTTATTTAATTTTTTAAAAATATGGATATAAAAATTTAACATAACCATTAAATAATTACAAGAATAAAAATAAAAATAAAGTTAAAATATCCATAAAATATAAATACAAAAATAAAAATAAGATAAAAATAAATAATATTTTATCCATCTAATTCCCTACCCTAATTCCCATCCTCGTAGACCAATTTGGCGATTTCAACTACCGATTTTTCAAACCACAAATTAAGGGGCAATTGTTTCGAGTACTTCAACTTGGTTCACGGTTAGTGCTCAACTTGTCTGACAAGTACAGCTTAACAGGCTATGATTACATCTGTCTTCAAACAAAACACGATGAAATTAAGGATTCCTTCACGTTTAACAAACCTGACTGACATTTCTTGCACTAGTTTTAAAACCTTTCTCACGGATCGGCACTATTCCTGGAGGTTGCCAGTTTGATCCGTTTAAAAATGACAGGGTTGCGTGGATTTCCACTTTCAAAAGAAATGAGAAGCAGGGTCATATCATCATTACCATTAGATTCTTTTTTGGTACATAATGAAAAAAGAAAACAAAGCAAACTACATCTTTACCATTCCATTCCCACTTCCATCCAATCGGAATGAAAAAAGAATATCCAATGGAAGCTCCTCTAACATTGAAATACTTTCGAATATGCATCATAATATATATATAGAGATAGATAGATAGATAGATATCACAACGTTTACTCTTTCCAAAGGAATGCCAAATATTTATAATTAAATTTGATAATTACTACTTTGATTCATCGCAATCACTTACCAAAAATATTACTTAACTTAGAGTAAGTTGCAATAACTGAATTTCTTAGGAATTAAACTAAGACAAGTTGATCAAGCTCAATAATTTGAAGATGACACTTTTTCAATTGCATTTAGTTTGAAATTTACAATGATAGGACATTGTTTTAGTGACTAGGAAACCAGAATAATGGTTCATCAGACTGACTGAGCGAGATAGATATATCAATGTAAAGAGAGAAAATGAGGAGCGAAGATAACAAGCTTAAGGAAGAAGAAACTAGATATCCGCAGGCGCAGCTCTCTTTTGGATAAACGTGTTATTTTTTTTTCCCCGAAGTAATGCATGGCTGTAAATATTAACTTTTGTTCACAGCCTTCTTTATGTAAAAATATTGTTTTTCTTGAAAATTTTTATCGACCAATCAATAATACAAAAAAAAAATTATATAAATTTGAAAATTTTTATTTTTAAAAATTTTAAAATAAATTAAAAATAAATTTGATAAATTTACATACAATAAAAAAAAAGTAAAACAGATTAAAATTATCAAAATTTATATATAAATTTTAAAAATTAATTTTTTAATTTAATAAATATCAATTAAATATAATATAAATACACATCAAATCTATTTAAAAATAAAAAATAAAAAAAATGACAACTCAAATCAAAAAATCAATGAGACAGGAGAGAGATAAGGTGAGTAACCTAATCCATCTTCGATAGATTTTGATTTGACCTAATTTTATAAGATCAATTTTTTATTTTTGAACATTGGATTTCGGATCGAATCGAATCGAATTGGGTAACGTTAAAGAAAGGTTAAGTTCGGATTTTAAACAAGTCTTGATCCGATATTATATAAAAATAATTTTTAAATTAATTTTTTATTTATATAATTATAATTTAAATATTTATATTTAAAAAATAATATTTTATATTTTAAAAAATAATATTTTATTAATTTTAAATCGAATCAAATACGATTTATATAATATCAAATCAAATTTTAATTTAAATATTAAAAAATAAAAAAATTTAAATTAAATCAAATTTAAATTTAACGAACGAATCAAATTTAAAACAAATAAAAATTCGTACCGCTCCAATCCGATCCATTGTCGTCCTAGCAGACAATTTAGGATTGTCAATCAAAGATTACAGTTAGAGCGCTTCATCATAAAAAAGACGCGACCAAATCAAAAGTAAAACAAAAAGCCAAATTCCCAACTACTGCCAACCATGTACTGCCACGGTTCAATGGCTCACGATCTTATTCGCCCTTCTTTCTTTTCCGTCACCGCCCCGTTATTGTTACAATCATGATCATTTTTCTTTTCCTATTTTGGCCTTTTTTTTTTTTTTTTTGCCAAGCATTTTTGTTTTCTTTTTGACTATCGTGCTTCAAACAAAATCCCTCATCTCTCTCTGATTCTCTCCCCTCAAAAGAAAATTACACCAAAAAGAAAAAACCATTCTTCTAAACGATGTCGTCTTCGTCATCTTCGTCGAGGAAACCCTCATCCCTTTCACGGAGATTTTCGAGATCATTAAGATCATCAGCCAAAACGGCGTCTTTAGCAACTGTCTCAACCATGGCGAATCTACCGGAGTCTTCTTCTCTTTCTTTATCGTCGTCACCGCCTTCCACGGAGGAGGGAGGGGAATCTTGGTCGACGATGTTGCCGGAGTTGTTAGGTGAGATCATGGAGCGCGTGGAGGCGAATGGAGATCGATGGCCTGAAAGGGAAAACGTAGTCTCATGCGCGTGCGTATGTAAGAAGTGGAGAGAAGTTACGAGAGAGATCGTTAGGGCTTCGTCTCCTAGTAGCGGCAAAATCACATTTCCTTCTTGTCTTAAACAGGTAATTCAAATTTTCCTTTAATTTTTTCTTGTAATTGAAATTAATTTCATAATCTGGTACTAATTTCTTCGGGTATTATATACAAATATCGATAAAGTTTCATACTTTCGTAATTTTGGGGGGCTTTTTAAAGGGTTTTTGTATTTGAATTTTTTAGGATTTTAGGTATTTGGGAATTGGGATAATTTGTGGGCAAAGTGGTGAAAAATTAGTTTTTTTGGTTCATTTGTATGAAATTTAGTTTTTGGTAGGGAAATATTTGAGGTAGAGAAGTTCAACGTTTAGAATCAAATGACGTTTTTCTACATTTATTGGTAATTGGAAATTAAAATTCGGTGAAATTTTATCCATGTAATGTAAATTTTTAGCTTTTAAAGGGGATTTGCTTCTAATAGAAACCATTTTTTTTTCTTGTCTTGTGATAGGAAATTATTCCTCGAGTATTAGAATTGTTTTCTGGGCAGTTTCGAAATCTGGGTTGTCCATCCCATTTATCAAAACTTAAGCTTTTGATTTCAATTATGAAAACGAAATTTGAAAACAAAATAAACCATCTAGAATTTGTTTTTTAGTGGTGATTTAAATGTGTTTGTTCGCTTATGGCTACTAGTTTGAGATGGAGTTTTCAGATATTGATTTGCTTTTTTGGTTGCTGTTTATGAAGCTGAAATACATTTAGGATTTACGGTGGTCAGTCAATGAATTTGTTATAAGTTTTGTGACTGATGGTTTTGTTCCCTTTTGTTAATGCAGCCTGGTCCCCGTGATTTTCCAAACCAGTGTATTATAAAGCGGAGCAAGAAAAACTCAACATTCTACCTTTATCTTGCTCTTACGCCATGTAAGTTATATATATATTATTTTGGTTTCACAAGCAAAATATGATGACATGTTAAATAGACTGGCATGCTGAATTACATGCTAATAATGAAGTTGAAAAGAAGTGAAAAAAGTTGAAAGGGCCATACTCTACTTTGTCACAGCTTCTAAATTAAGTTTTGACTATTGTCTAGGTAGGATCATAAATGTGGATTTCTGCTTTCTGACCTATTAACTTTGCCCAAGTCAGCTTAACTTGGTCTTTACCTTGAAAATCACTAGAATTGTCTGCAAAGACTTTCATCTGCTTAATGGTCTTACACGCCCATTAACTTTAAAAGAGTAACGAGATTTAGTCCTTTGGATCTGTCTATACTAGACTTGGCATATTATCATCTTAGATTGGACTTCTGATGTGATACCAGTGCCCCCACAGTTTTCACTTGAGAACAGTGTGTGGTGGCAGTTGCTGATGTTATTTTATTTGAACTTGTCTACTATTTCTTATATCTAGTCTTGAAGGGTATGGATGGATCTCGTGCTAGATTCTTAAGTATATCTTCAGATTTTATTGACGAATAGCTTTTAATCAGTTTACTATCACACTAATGCTTCATTGCTGCATGCATTTGTGTTTTCTTTTTTATTTTAGTAGTGTTATGCGCCAGCATAATAGCCTTGTAACAGGCATAGCCAAATGGTCATAATTTTGGCTTCTGGGAGAGAGGATACAAGTGAGTAAACAATTTTATACTTTTCAAAGTTTCTAGTCTCAGTAGTCTTCATTGTTGTGTGGTGGCATTATCTTCAACATGATGACAGGTTGATCTCTGCGTTCGTAAGTTGTTGTGACAGAGGCATATGAAGCTATTGCTCAAGTCATAAACATCTGATGATCTAACTTCTTTGTCCCTCTCTCTCTATCTCTTTCTATCTTAAGAGATATGAACTACTGATATTTCTTGCTTGGCAAATTTGGGCAGTGGAAAACATGCAGGGATAGTAATCATTTCTGTCTTCTCTGTTACGCATTTAACAATTACGCTTCCTAAAGATGTCCAGGTCATCGATGTATTACTGAGTCTGATATCTGATGTCTTTTTTAGCTTTGCACCTTCCATCCCTTGGCCAAATTATGTTACCTTAAGTCTGCAAGCAATTATTTTTCCACAAAGATGTTGCCAGTTGAAAGGCTATACAAGTTTGTTACCTTTTATTACAAACTAAGAAAAATTTGTTTCTTGTGATTTTAGTTCTTGAGAGCAACTGTTTTTAGCCAATCTATTGCAGTTCTCTTCCTTTTTTATTGCCATAGTGCAACTGGATGATGTAATTGTTCGAAATCTGGCTTATTTAAATCTTTTTTGCTGATGCTTGGCAGCATTCACCGACGAGGGGAAGTTTCTGTTGGCAGCACGAAGATATCGAAATGGTGCTCATGTTGAGTATATTATATCCCTTGATGCAAATGACCTATCCCAAGGGAGTAATGCCTATGTTGGGAAGTTAAGGTATGAGACTAATTTCAAGTTTAGGTGAGGTATTTTGTGATATAATCCTTCTCTTGCTGGAACTCTGTTGACGAAATCTGCTCTTTGAATTTAGTGGATATGGTTTTCATAAAAGTTCTATTTAGGGAATATCTTTTAAGGAAAAAACTTTGCTGTCTACTGGCATTGTAAATTTTGCCATGATCTTTAAGCATAAAAGGTGTACAGTTGACATATTATCCTTTATGCTATGCAAACAGTTTATTTATGTTGACATACTGAACTTTGTATGTATGTTCATTATTTGGACCATTTACCATATAGAAGCTGTTGCCTGAAATTTTCAAAACTAGTTACTGCTATGTTGGAATGGACCTTTCTTTTCTGTGTTTTTTCTGTTTCTTAATTGTGATCTCCTTTGACATGTCTGGTACCATGTGAAGTTGCCATGCCATGTCATGCCATGCAATTATTGTTAATTTTCTTTCTCAAGGATACAGTTTTAAGTGTCACTAGAGCAAGTAAAATATGTTCTAAAGAGAGAATCTTTAGCATTTTGTATATAGATGAGAGCATTGGGAAGACTGCTTATGTGGTGGGAATAGCGCTATCTTGATTTTTAGTGTGTTTTGTTACAGTAAAAATAGAATACTTTAGATTTCCTTTATATTTATTAGCTGACACTCACATGCAAATTTAAAATCTTTGCAGTTCGGATTTTCTAGGCACCAACTTTACTATCTATGATAGTCAGCCACCACACAGTGGTGCAAAGCCCTCAAGCAGCAGAGCAAGTCGCAGATTTGCAAGCAAGCAAATCAGCCCCCAAGTTCCAGCTGGCAATTTTGAGGTTGGAAAAGTGTCTTACAAGTTCAATCTCTTAAAATCAAGAGGTCCTAGGAGGATGGTTTGCTCAGTAAAATGCCCTTTGCCAGAAAGGGCTGATGACAAGCATTTAGATGACTCGAAGGTGAAAACGCCAGAGCATGCTTCCTCTGGTCATACAATTTTGAGAAACAAAGCTCCAAGATGGCATGAACATTTACAGTGCTGGTGCTTGAATTTCCATGGCCGGGTAACAGTAGCATCTGTGAAAAACTTTCAGCTGGTTGCGACTATGGACCAGAGCCAACCAGGAGGGAAAGGAGACGAGGAAAGGGTTCTCCTCCAGTTTGGGAAAGTAGGGGATGATACATTCACCATGGATTATAGGCAGCCCTTGTCAGCCTTTCTTGCTTTTGCCATCTGTCTTACAAGCTTTGGTACAAAATTGGCTTGCGAGTGATCTTATACTATATTATAGTAACAAGTTGTGCTACTTGTTTAATATAATGTTTTTTCTGCTTATTGTCACTTTCAAAAGTTTTGGACAGCCTTGGCTTGATGAGACAAAGCAAATCATGTACATGTTCCTATTGTATCTATAACATTTTCTGAAATTATTGGCTGCAAGCACATCTTACTGAGTTTATGGTGTATTTTTACATCAACAAGCATGAAGCAAGTCCCTTCAGCAGTTTCTTATGTCTTCAGATTTGAGATCAGGATTTGAGAATTGAGTTGACAAAAAGCATATGAATCCATTCTGTTCTGTTCCTTTTTGTTTTTTTCCTCTTCGCCCTTTTTAAGGCAAATATATGGTTTGTAAACAAGCTGATATCAGACGGGCTTTGCTTTCTTTGTGATCATTCATTTTTTTTTGTTTTTTTGATGGACTTGTGATCATTGAGAAATTTTGGAATGGTGATTGTGATGGACTCGAATTCATTTAAGTTAAATGAATTTATTTATGAACCTTAATCGAATATATTTATAAATATATAGTCGAATGTTTGTGAACAATTAAAAATATGTTAGTAAACAATAAATGAATGATATTTAAGTAAATTTAAACAAATATAATTAACAGCTTATCATTTCTAAACTATATTTCTAAAAAATTTAAAATTAAAAAATATAAATAAAAATATATGTAAAAATATGAAATAATAGTAAATATAATAATAATAATAATATTTTATTATTGTTGAGCAATAAATGAGTTTTTAATCAATTTATAAATGAATCATAAAAGAATTTTTTATAAATATAAATAAACTGAACATAATTTAATCGAGACTGATTTATTTATGGTACAGAGTTTTAAAATTTTATTTAAAATCGTTTTTTAATGTAATAAATAAACATAAATAAACAAAAATCAAATTTGTTCACATAAAAGTATGTTTCACTTAACAGCCTCATGCAAGAACAACAAAAGCATGTGATTAGTTCTAGTTGTTGGCAACGATTAACTCTTCTTTTTGGCTTTTTGCTCGAAGGAGTTGAGCATCACAACTCAAGCCGCCATGTTTCTTGACCAGTTAGACAAAATTAGAAGCATTTGGCAAAGAGATTTCCAGAATGATAAGACTTTACTGATGAAATCCTAGATAGAAAATACTGTACTACTTTAAAGTTTGAAGCAACCAGGCAAGTTTTTGAGGTTTTCTGCAGCATTTTTGCCTTTTAGAGGCTCAACTGTTACAGCTCGATCGTTGAAAAGTGATTTTTAAGAGCTAATACTGTAGCTTTTCTTATAAAAAGCTCGTTAAATCTTTACTTGATAAGAAAGATAAAAACAAAAGAAAGAGACGAAAAAGTTTCAACTTCGTTATATTATATAAATTAGAGAGATTGTTGTAATTCTAAACCTTGGCAATAAAATTGAGAATTTCCCCATCATTCCTTGTATCCATACTCCTAACAAGCAAAGCTTTTAAGCATTTATTTCCTATAAATATTTAGGTCTGGAAATGCACTTCTCAAATACAGTTACTAGTTTGTAATTTTGCATACGAGCATTTGGTTCAATATTAAATTTATTTATATTTTTGCTCTCCCACAAACAGAAAAATTAGTTTGTGATTATTTGCGAGTAAAAAAGTACTTTTATTTCGATTTACAATTACTATACTTTTAGCAGGAATCTTGAACAATAAAGAATGGAATTTTTTATCAATTCCACAATTTTCCACTATTCAATGCCAAACCCATTTTCACATTTTACAATTAATTTGACCAGGCATAGATGATGGAATACTTATATTTTTTAAAATTCATGGATTATCGTAGACTTGATAATTTTATACATGATTCAATAATACAATATAAAAATGACATTAAAAAAATCATATGTTTTAACAAAATGTATTTCTTATTTATTTGTATTGATACGATACAATTCGAATCTTATACATGTTTGACATGTATAAATACTTGTAAGACATGAAAAATATATTTAGATAAAATATGACATATAGATACACATTTAATATGTGACACAATACGAAAAATATATTTAATTTAATATTGTCATATGAGTATATGTTTAACATGTTTAACACGTTTAATACATTTTTTTTATATTTAATGAATATAAATATATAAAAATTATTGAAAATTTTAATTTTTTAATTATGATACTTAATTAACTATTCAATATCATATCAATATTATTTGAAACATTTAATTATGATATTCATTTAATAATTATTATAAAATTACTTTTTGTATTAATAATATAAATACAATATAAATACTAGTCTTATACATCATTATTTTATTCTTTAATTTTTAGTAGTCCATTTTTAAATTTAATACTAAAAACTAATATAGTTATATAATATATATTAAAATTTATATATATATATTTTATATACGTATTAAATGAGTATCAAAATTTTTTTACGCATTTTAATTTGCAATATTTTTTTATATTATAAATATGTCAAATTTATTAAGTTGTAAATGATGGATAGTTTATAATTATTTATTATTTTAGTCGTGTTTTTATATATATTTATGTTAGTCATGTTTATTTATGTATATCCATGCTAGTCATATGTTTATTTTTGTATATCCATGTTATTCATATTTATTCATATCGTATTTAAATAGATTAATTATATACGTGTTAATCGTGTCATGTATAATACATATAATAAATGTATCATATTCATTTTTAAAATTTAAATATATTTTATAATTTGTGTCTTGTTCGTATTTTAATAATTCATATCATTATACGTATTAAACATGACATAAAAACACGAATTACTAGTTCTATGGAAACATAAAGCCATAGACCAAATCCAATCTTCTGTAGTATTCTAGGATTAATTATTATGACTTGCCCCTCAATTTTCTCCATAGGTGGTAGACATCTGAATTCTTTCAAAATGCTAGTAATCGATAACATTAGATGGCAATGTTTGGCTATTGTTGTTCAATCACAAGAAGTGACGGTGTATAATAGTTTGTTATTGGGTAAAAATCAACATAAAAAATGTGATAACCCCATTTCCTTGGGGCCATAGCCAGTGTGATGCTCATCATATCATGAAAATATTCTTCATGAATATAGCTGTAATTTTATTCATTTTTTCCTTACTCTGTTTATCCACACATTGACAAAAGGGCTAAGAATATTATGTTATTCCAACTGTAACAAGCGAAAATATCAAACATATTTATTGGTGTTCCTAAAACCTGACACCTTCATCAGTATATCACAGGAGTGTCTGAGGAAATGATTTGAAATTGACAAAAGCAAAAACACAAAAATCACAAAAATTCCAATGTTAAGTCAAGAGCACGTGCATGCACACACACACACACACACTTCATTTCATAGTCATATTCATAGTCATAGTCATCACACAAAGTCAAAGACAGATACTGTTCTTACAACTGAACCATAACAATGGTAGAAAACATTCATTTACACAACCAAGTTTTAGGACTCAGACACTGGACGATATTCTGAGTTCTGTTTGATGTTTCTACAAGACCTACCTCACTTGTTCCGTCGCAGCTTTGTCCCAAGAGCCCTCTCCAGTTTACTTATTATCTGTTGATTAGGAATGGCTTTTCCAGATTCATACTCTTGTATAATCTGAGGCTTCTCATTGATCATCTGTGGGATGACAAGAAAGATTCAATGAAAGAATATGAAATTAAATAAAGACTCATCGTACTCTTAGGCATGAACTGGCATGCATTCGTGCACACACACAGTGATAGAGAGAGAGACCTGTGCAAGTTGAGCCTGGGTAAGTTTCTTTTCCATTCGAGCCTGCATGATGGCTTTCTTCAGTTCAGGTGGCACTCGATCATCTGTTCATAATTTTATAAACCAACAAAAATTTATAATGGAATCATCCTTGACACTCAGGTGCTATAGAAGTTGAAAACTGATGAAAAATTTGAAGTAAGTAGGGCAGGTAGGAATATATATATATATATATATATATATATATATATATAAGTTTAACAAATTATTGGTGGCCAGGTTTAGGATCATATCATAATAGTCAAATATGTAAATGTAGAAACATCTCACCCGTTATGGAGAAGACCAAAGCCATGGTTATAAAAGAATATGGCAAATTTTAAAAGCAATATTCAGATAAAATCACAAAGGCGTAATTGAGATTCCAATGAGACGGATATAGAGCAAAGGTAATTCAACTTGCAAATGACCAATAACAACCCAACACACTAAAACAAGATGTTGTTCGGTCAGCATAGAGTGAACCAACAAAATAACCGTTCAAGGGATCAACGGATGAATATATGTACCAAGTAAGTCAGTTCTACTGTTACTATACCACCAATGACAACACCACCTACAGCTCCCATTTATAACTCAAATTTTTTCCCCAAAAAGCAGCACAGAGAAGGTAATTGAGACATTTTTAATAAAGCATATATAGGTGCTTTTAAACTTGTATCGTTTGCTAATCTCACCAAAGAAAATGGAACCAAAACACAAGCACACCCATCAATAAAAATAAATTCATAAGCCTCACTCTATCGATATCCCAAAACTAATAGATAAATCCCTTCTGCTTATAAGTTAATGAAAACTATTACTTATCGAAGATTACACATCCCGTAGAGCAGTCATTCAGCCAAGTGCCTACTTCAAATCAACAATCTGTAAGCGTCCTAAACATGCACAAGAATACAACATTCAAATCCATCCCAACAAATAAATTCCTACAGAAACATTTGTGTTACTATCAGACATAAAACTATTACCAATTCATTCAGTTTGGAAACAATTAATTCTCTTTTGAGCAATAAATTGGGAATTTCATACAAAAGCAATTCAGATATAGTTGTGGTAAATAGGAAAAAAATAAAAAGAGGGCAGAAAAAAATAAAAAGAACAGGGAATAAAATATTTCTTACGAGCGAGATTATCAGTTTCTTCATCAAGCTTCCTTGTGTTCAAAGAAGTACTACTTGAGGCAGCCTTGTTCGTCCCAGCATTGGCTAAAGATTTCCATTTAAAAAAAATTATTTTTATTATTTTCTATTTTCATCTTACGCTAACAAAAATAAAGAAAATGTAATTACAATTATTTTAGGGGTAAAAAAAAAATACATTTTTTGATAGATTCGATCTCGGCGCCAGCACGGCGGGCGGCGTTGACCACTTTCTCATCCTTCTTGGCGGCGGCGCTTGGGGGTTTCTTTCGAATAACCACCGGTTCCCAGTCTTGAGTTAAAGGTCCGATTCCGGCCATTGTCTTTCTTTCTCTTACTTGAGTTTCTTTGATTGGATGAAAGGAAAGTGAAAGGAGTGAAAAAAATCCTACGTTTGTTGTTAGAAATTCAATGCTAGCGAGGTGGCTTTCCATTTATCGGTGAACCAAAATTAAACCTATCAATGATAATATCCGACGATCATTATTAGATGACGTGGCAGTAATTGGAATGGGCTTCTCGTTGGGCTTTCACCATTACTCTTTTCTTTAATTTTTCCAAATGGTTTTTTTTTTTTTTTTTTTCATATCAGTCCATTAATTATTATTAAATTGGTAGAAAAGTTTGGGTAGATTAAAGTTAAAAAAAAATATTTTTCTTTTTTTTTTAATAAAAATTAAAACACATTAAAAATGATAAAACATTCACTTTGCTTTATTTTTGCTAATTTTTTTTTCTCTCATTTTCTCACGACCCAAACACATTGACAACTTTAGTACTTAACCATACTGAAGACAGTCCTACTAAACGACAACTCTCCAACAAAACTACTAGTAAAAATGGCGGGAGGCCATTAAACCTCTCCCCAAGCTCCACCTGTGTTTCCATGTTAACGCTCTTTTTCCTTACGTTACCCGATAAACCCAAAATTCCTCTTTTATTCTTCCACTTACCTAAACCAGAATCCCCAAAAGCCCCAACCTTTTTTCTCACCTTTGTTTTCACCTTTGGAAAGAAGAGAAAAATGACCACCAAAATCATAGCTGAGTATGCCAAGTCTGGCAGGTCCTCTTGCAAGAAATGTGGCAAAGCCATAACGGCTCAGGCCTTGAGGTTGGGGCTTGTTACCAGAGATGCTAGACGCTTTGACATGACCAAATGGCATCACTTGCATTGCTTTCCTGAAAAGATTGATTCCCTTGATGTAATTAAGGGCTTTGATTTGCTCAAGGTTGAAACTTTTTTCCTTTTCCTTTGCAGCTAAAAGGTTAAAAAAAGATTTGGGTTATGATTAAAAAGTGAATATTTCATTTTTTGGTTTCAGGGTGCTGACCAGGAAGCTTTGAAGAAATTTGCAGATGAGTCTGATAAGTCGCCAAAGCGGGTATTTTGTTAATTTCTGAATTGTGATTGCAAATGTGAAATAGTGTTGTCTCTTGCTGATTAACTTTAGACTCTAGAGTTTGCTATTTGGTTTAGCTTGGGTGCTAGGTGATACAGTTGAGTTTGATTTGAGAAATAGTGGTTAATTATGTCTAAGTTATGTTTGTGGTTTAGGTGAGATGAAGTCTATTGATAAGATTTACTTGAATTTAAATAAAGTGATGATGATAGAAGTTTATATGTATGTTGTGGGGCTTTGAATCCAAATTTTAGATCAAGTTTGTGTAATGATGAACAGTTGTGTCCAAGAGGACTCTAGTTCAGTATTTATTTAAGATTTCTCTGTGGTCATGACTCATAAGTAGAAGTACAAATATGTATTATTTATTCTCTCTCCTACCCTAAGCTCTTTATTATGAACAAATAAGTAATTTTAACTAAAACAACTCTTTTTTTCTCCATTTTTTTTGTGCAGCATATTCTCTAATATAAATTGCCAGTAGCAAGTGTTAAGAACAAGTTTTGTGGTTTGAAGGGGGTTCTTTGGGAATTTTGTTTTCTGAATTGAACAGTGTGATCTATACTAGAATTTGTATGGAATGGAATTGTGGTCATATGCGGTTCCAATGTTTTGCATTTCCATGGTTTTGACCTAGATTAGGTAGCTGACAAAATTTTGCCAGGTTGTTCTCACTTGGTAATGTGTTCGGTTTTCTGTTTTCTCTCTTTCCTTTTTTGGTGGAGATGAAGAGGAAATTCTTTAGGTGTATTTTGAGTGCTAAAAGGAATGCAAAATGAAACTTATGGTTTTTCGCTTTCATCTTTGTTAGTTTATCAGTATCATTTATCTATCTTATGTTATTTCATAAACAGTTGCAGGGAAAAAATGATGAAGAAGAAAGAGAACAGGAAGAAGAAGAAATTGAAATGGAGAAAAGCAATTCAAAGAAAATTAAGGTATGGGGATTATCCTTTTCTGCTTTCTTCCATGATGTAGAGACCTTCAGAAAAAATAAAAGAAGAAAAGGAGAATCAGTTTTCCATTTTCACCTTTGAATCACACTTATTGTCATTTATTTGTCATATTTTGTGTCATATCCTGATCCTTAGAGGACATATAAAGATGAAGAAGATAATGAAGTGGAGGAAAGTAATTCAAGGAAACTTTAGGGGGCAGGTTATTGTTTTTTTCTTATTTCTTTTATGTTGAGAAACCAAAAGAATAATACAAAAAAGATTATAATCACCTATTATGGGTTCCAACTTCAAAGCCTGTCTAATTGATTGTGGACTAATTTGGCTATGCACGGATGGACCGAAAATGTCTAAAGTATGGTCAGTTTGAGTGGCTAATCCTAACTTGATGTATAATTGCCTACAAATTTGTTTGAGTTAATTGCATTTGTGTAGTTGAATTAGCTTTAACTGATCATCTTTAACTTTTATTTGCTCTCAACTAGATGTCAGCACCTAATGAGAAAGATGAGTTGGACATAGCCTTTTCTGTCTCGGATGTCAAGGATAAGTATAAGGTATAGTACTATTTTACTCATTATATATTATGTTTTTGAAACTTAACATATTCTAAAGAAGTTTGTTTATTTTGAGTAACATATTCTAAGAAGTTTCTTTATTTTGAGCTCAGAAGTCTATATGATTGAAAATATTCTGTCTTTACCTGTTTCTATCTTTTTCCTTTGCTTTAGGATGCTGCATTAGAACCAAAATGGAAGGCATTCCAGACAATCATATTTCTTGAGCGGGTGAGATACCAATCGTATAGTACCAAAGAGAAATGAAGAAGAAAAAAAAGCTTGACTGCTTGTATTATGGTGGATACAGAAGTCTAATAATTGGTCTAATCTTGCAGATTCTAACTATTTTTATATCTACATATTTATTTAATTCACTTTCATTTCTGTCATTATTTTATTTATTTGATATTTTGGTGGCATATCTAAATACTTCTTATGTTGAGACATAATCTGATTTTATTGACTAATTATTCCTTTTAATTGATTTGTTGGTATGGAGAACTTCGGTTGTAAGGTGACATCTCCTTTTATCTTTCACAGGATGATGGTCTTCATGATTCGGGTAAAGTTGCTGCTTTTGATTTTGATGGTTGTCTGGCTAAAACATCTGTTAAAAGGTAGGGTTGAATGCAGTTTTTGTGCATTCAATTAGGCTGTTCAACAAGCATACATATGAAATTGCATAAATCTGACATGTATTGGCATTTATGAATGAAATAAACAATTGTTTTTCTATCAGTTCATTCACATTATTGTTAAATGAGATTCTCAAATTTGACTAGTTTGTTCTGTGACGTTCACTTGCATGTCCATATTTTAACTTGTTTTTGGTTCTGAATAATGTTACATTCTTTTAATCCTTTATTCCTACTTTTCATGCATTCAAATTGATACAATGGAGTATAATTCAACATAAGAGCTTAATGGGGTCGAATTCTTTTCTTTTTTTCATTTTTATTTCATTTATTTGCTTCTTCATCTTATGAGAAGTTCATAACAATGTTACCAATGTAGTCTTCTTTCTGTGCTGAAATGTCTTAAGTATTGTCTTCAGTAATTAACCTGAAAAAAAAAAAAAAAGCTAATGCAAATCAACCAACATCAATGGGAGGCTGAGAACAGGAATTATAGGTTAAAGGGGAAATGGTTATTGTGCGAACAAAATGTGGGAATGGCCATTACCACCTTGTTATGCCCAACCATAAGTTTCCGCTGCAAGTGTAAAATTGAAGTAGCAGATCAGTTTTTTGAGTTGATAACAATACTTCTTGTTTTTCAGAGTAGGTGCAAATGCTTGGTCCCTTATGTATCCTTCAATACCACAGAAGCTGCAGAGTCTTTATAAAGAGGGCTATAAACTGGTTTTATTTCTTTTATTACTGTAACCTTTCTGTTGTTTATTTTCTATAAGAAAATATGATTATGGTGCATTTGTTATTTTGTTTTCTTATTGTTAATTCTGTTTGTCCAATAATTAGGTAATCTTTACTAATGAATCCAATATTGATCGCTGGAAGAATAAAAGGCAGGTAGCTGTGGACTCAAAGATTGGACGTCTCAACAATTTCATCAAGCAAGTAAAGGTTCCAATGCAGGTTGGGTTTACTCCATTTAGTAGCCTTTTGTTATTCCTCTATAAAAAGCAAGTATCTGCAATCTATTTTAACTTCTCAGCAGCAAGAAATCTCGAATCATTTCCGGTGCTGAACTCATCCAGATTCTGAATTGATCAGCATGATGGTGCTTCTTAAAATAATTTTTCCCAGTCTGCATGTCTATGGTGATAAATTTTGTTTATCAAGGTGCTGATTAAATCTTTTAGAAGATGGAGCTCTTCACTGAACAGTGTGGGGGGGGGGGGGGGGGGGGAATGCTTTCATCTAGTCAACCCCAACTAGTTTGAGATTACGGCTTATTTGAGTTGAGTCAATGTGCTGCTTAAAGTTTCCAGCTCAAATTATAGTTTTAATGGGAACATCCAGTCTCTGAGGTCTGGTGGGTTCTTTATTTTAAATGGTTTATAAATAAAAACAACTCCCTCTTTAGTTGTTATTCTCTGGTATCTGAAGAAATTTCATGGTCACTTGGTAAGCCATGATTCTATCTCAACAATGAAGTGCACATCATCATGTTGATTTGATCTCTGTAATGATAGAATCATCTATAGTAAACATCTTGCCACATTCTTCTTACTTGCTTTCATAATTTTTTTTAATGAAATAGAATCATCTATAATAAACATCTTGCCACATTCTTCTCGTGTGCTTTCATACTTCTTTTAATGAATTCCACCATTTTAGCTGAATCAATCTGGATTGTAGGGGACTTTTCTGTCTCTTACTTTTCTCTGATGGCCTAATGCATCTGAAGTGCTCTACTATAATGTAAAAAAACTATGAATTTGGATTGTCTTCACTTGTTTTATATGTGTGCAGGTTTTTATAGCATGTGGGATAGGTAGTGCTGGCAGTAAAGCAGATGATCCTTTCCGCAAACCTAATCCTGGGATGTGGCACATTATGGAGAAACATTTCAACTCTGGCATTCCAATTGATGTGGAACAGTTATTTTCCTCATCGTCTTTATCTTGTTTCACTATCCTAAGCTCTTAAGTAATTTGACTTGTACTTGGTGCTTAGTGTGAGAGTATGATCTTAATTATCCAAAAAAAAGAGAGAGAAGATAGTATGATCTGGTTGCTAAACTTTAGGGTCTCAGTATCACTTTTGCACAGGAACATTGACTGACAGAAGCTCTGGTTGTCTGTCTTGTAGATCTTTTTATGTTGGTGATGCTGCTGGGAGACCTAATGATCATAGTGATGCTGATATAAAATTTGCACAGGTTTCATTAAACTTGTCATTTTATTTTATTTTTCAAAAAGCATTAATGTTCAATTATTGACTTTTGTATGCAATAACTTGTCTTTCTATTTTGCCATTTGGTTGGGACTGGAATACGGAAATGTTCCATTTGTCTATAAGGCTGATTTACACAATTTTGCAACCTTTTTCATAGCCTTATTATTGTTTCCTCTTAGCCCTTTTCAGTAATGTGCAAGAAACTATGATCATTTTAAAGCACGTATTCTAAACTTGGTCATTTTAATGCGCACTTATTCTAAACTCTTACACTATCAAGTTTTCGCTAGGAAGAGAAAATGTGGGACTTCTCTTGAAATAGTTTTAACAAAGAGAACCACTTTAATTAATATGAGAAATCCACATTACTACTATGATCATCTCTAGAAGCATTGAAATTCATAACTGTTGATAAGATCCAAACTCAAATGTATCAAATAAGCATCTTTCATGTCATGTGAAAAATTTGTCAAAGTCGTTTGGTATGTGAGGGCATTAACTCACTGTTATTTCATATGTTTCTAGTAGTATAAAAAAAATATTAATTACTGGATCTGCATGGTAAACAAGAGTCACTTACATGATTTTCGTATGGTTGCAGGCGATAGGATTGAAATTTTATGTTCCCGAGGACTATTTCAGCACTTGAGTGAATTTGGTTCGCAGTTGCTCATGCACTATCACTGACTGGCATGTAGTTATGTATTAGTTTTAAGCTATACTCATCTTGTCTGATGGATCTTTTTAGCGGCAATGTCTGGATACACATTGGAGATTATTATGCTTTAGATTGAGTTTGTACAGGAAACTACTTGTATATGAATTGCATACAGGGTAAAGCCTCCGATGGAACCAAACTATGACTCTTTCCATAATGGCATCTACTTTGAACAACAGTAGCAACTAAAAGTTATTGAATTTATAACCCGCATAAAGCAAACAACAATATTTCTGAACACATAATGAGCTGTGGAATTAACTCAATCCTAAGTATGCTTTGTTGATCCAGATGTGCCAAGGCTGGATTGAAGATGAAGTATGCTTGCTTTTTAAAATAATGGATCATATGTACGAACTGTCTTTATTTTAACATATAGGTATGTGCACACCAAGATCAATTAAGATGGCTGGGAGGATATAGGGCATTAATAATTGTTGCTGGTTGCTGCACAAACCCTTCATAATCAAACGCCAGTAATCAGGGCCAGAAAGGAGCTATTTCAATAGAGGAGTCAAAATGCAATTCTACAGAGCAAAATCAATGCAATAGGTCGGATAAAATACATAATAACCATTAAATATGTAAATTCAACACAAGATAGAAAACCTGTCTGAACTCTAGCTCATGACTCCCTCTACTCCGAACAGAATTGTTCTACAACAAATGTTTGCAATAGTTTTACAAATGGTTTCAAGGTTCCTTTAGCAGTTATTAAATGCAAGCTTGGTGCAGCAAATACAGATATGTCATGGATGTCTGGTCATCTGCATAATATTCAAATACCTCAAGTTCTTCCCATAAATTTACTGCCTTGTTCTTTCCTACCAATCTCACCCTCCAATATTGCATGCCTTGTCAAGACAATCTCCTTCACAAGATTCCTATAAGTGAATGGTCTAATTGCTGCTCGCAAAAACAGCTCCGGAGGAATTTTGCTCTTCTTAATCCTCCTCCTCCACGGACCAATCCCAGCATACTTCCACTCTTCTGGTCTCACTTTTGCTCTTTTACCCCTTAGGGCAGTTTCATCTCCATCTTCCATTACCCCCAACTGCTTCTTATAGAACTCTGTAGTTATCTCAACACTTCGTTTTGCAATTTTTTCCATCCTTTCTGAGCTGCTTACGGCCTTCTGAAACTCTTCCTCCCAGTACTTTCCATCCTCTTCTTCCTCGGATTCCTCTTCTTCAGTCCCAAATTCTTCATCCTCACCTTCTTCCATGTCCAGAACCACATCATCTTGATCGTCCTCCTCCTCATCATCACCCCCATCATCCTCAATCCAATCCGTGAACTGGGTCTCACCAGAATGTCGGCCCCTATCGTCCTCATCATCATCTGGTGCATCACAACCCAACTCCATCTCCTCCAACTTAGCCTTCCACTCCTTTGTATATGGATGCAAAAGAGGTACAGGATGATTCCTCAACAAAAACTCCAAACACCGCGATTTCCCTTCCTCACTCAACTTCTCAAACCCTTTCACCACATCATCCACAAAAGCCTTTTGACTCACCTTCACAATCTTACACAACCCCTCAAAATAACTACACATTTCCACACTCCCATCCTCTTCCCTAACCTCAAACAAATACTCCCCCTCCGTTTTCGGATCAAGAAACGGCATCAACACCTCAAAAAACTCATCTTGAGGCTCAAACCTACATTGATATACCGGCTTCTTAACATAAATGATATCCGGTCTCATCCAAGCTGCACATTGAGTAATCAAAGATCTAGCTTTATTCCCTAACCTCCCCATCAAACTCCACTTATCTAATCTCTCATTTTTTCTAGCTTCAACAACAACTTCACTAACCAAAGTCCATTGTTCCCAAGGCAATTCATTTAATCTCCATTTCGGGTGCCTAACAAACCCCCAAAAATACCTAAAACCAACATTTTTATCCATCGTTTCCAACCTTTTCCTAAACTCTGAAGCCATCTCGAACTGCTCTATCTTTTCCCATTCCTCATGATTCTTCACTTCTCCTATAATTGTGACCCTTTCATCCGAAAACCGCCCTCGAATTGGGTCCCCAACAACAACCCCACGCCAAGAATAAGGCCCAAATTCACCATACTTGTACCAATCAAAAGGGTGTCTTAAATTTGGGTCGTCTTTTTCCATGAACCGGACCATCCGGTCATACCCGAGTCCGATTGCCTCCAGCTCTTCTTCCGTGAAGTTATCCGCATGGTTTCTTTTTCCCGAGTTTTTCAACCGGTAGAAGAGAGATTCGGCTAGCTTTTTCGATTTTCGACGCGCGTTTAGCTTCGCCACGCGCCTTACCTCCGCGTTCCCTTCGAGTCGACCCGATGATTGGCCACCCGGTTTCTTCTTGCTCCTTCCAGCAAAGGCCCGGACGTCTCGCTGATGGATGCAAAGTATGGCGGATTTTTTGCCACAATATGGGTGCTTTTGGCCGGGAAGTGAAGGTGATAGGATGTGTTTAGGGAAAGGGAAGACAAGTAAAGAGGGGTTTAGGGTTTTAGAAAATGAGAGATTTTGAGGCTGCATTTTTTGCCCTGAAAAAATGAACGAAAAAGTTTTGGATTACTTTTAGAGGTAAAAGCTGAATAACCATCGGAGAACTCCAGCAAAACGTTGCGTTTTAGGGGAGAGTTTCAATTAAATTATATCTAATTTTTTATCTTTATTTTTATTTAAACATATAATTAATAAAAACGGAAAATACTAAATATAAAAAAAATATATTGTTGTTTTATGAAAAGTTTGAAATATTTTGTCAATTTTTTAAAAATAGGAAATTAAGAGTTTTCTATTTAATTATTTATTTAATTTCATTTGTTTGTATATATTTAAAGTAAGGGATTAGATGAAAAATATTTTTTAAAAAAAAACTAGGCCTTTTCCTTATTTTTGATAAACTCGATATTATATATTTGTAATAAATAAATTTATTTTGAGAAATTTTAAAGTTTGTGCAATTGTTATCCGAAACTTATTTTCAAAGTTTATTCTCTAAATTACTCATATCATTTATTTATTTGAATATAAGGGTATAAGTAAATATATTTATATAGTTTGGAATGTATCTTGTCACAGTTGTTTTTTTTTTTTAACCAAAATTAGGAAATGATTTATATTATATCATGGATAAAAGGAATAATAATTTTAAATTAAAAATTTTAATTCAAAAAATTTTGTTTTTGTCCATATGCTTTGGTTGTGCTTGTATAGCATATCCCATTGAACCTTTCTTGTACAAAATAAAATTTAAGAAAACAATCAAATGGGAATTAATGAAATTAAATATGCAAATCCTAATAACCTCTCAAATGGTATATATAAAATTCAGTGCGGTTATTCTACCATTTCCTTCCACTTTGAACATCATCACTAGTTTTTTTCAAACATAATAACTGAACTAAACAGCTTTAAAGACTTTGGAAATGGTTGACTTGAAAATGAGATATATCCTTCAACCACAACTCATTTTCAGGTTCGCGTCCATTGTTTCTTAGCTTTCTTTTCCTTGAGAAAATATGGTGATTGGTATGTTGTATCAAATCCTTTGCCTTCTTTTAGCTTTTTTGCAATATCTCCAGGTTGCTTGTTCATGGAGTTCCTCTTCCTCTTTTCTTCATTCAACTCATTTATGTCTCCCAGAACAGAGAGCTGCTTTGCTCGAATTTAAAAACACCATTTCTCTTGATGATTATTGTGGGATATTTGCTTCTTACCCCAGAACAAATTCCTGGAACGAAAGCACCGATTGCTGTTCATGGGAGGGAGTCACCTGCAACAAGGTAACCGGTCATGTAATTGGTATTGATCTTAGTGACAGCTGCCTTCACGGTTCTCTCCATGCAAACAACAGCCTCTTCCACCTTCAAAACCTTCAATGGCTTGACCTCAGTTTCAATGATCTTTCTGGCTCTCTTCTTGAAAACAGCAGTCTCTTCCACCTACAAGGACTCCACGAGCTCAACCTTGCTCACAATGATTTCAATGGCTCTATCTCATCAGAGTTATTTACTCAGTTAGTGAGTTTAACCCATCTTAATCTCTCTCATTCTGGATTCTCTGACTTAATCCCATATGAAATTAGTCTCCTGTCAAATTTGGTTTCGCTTGATCTTTCCATTAATGCTTATTCCAACTTGAGATTTGATGCACAAGGTTTTGACATGCTTGCAAGAAACTTAACCAAAATAAGAAACCTTGTCCTTGATTATGTAGATATGTCTGGTGTTGCAGTTTCTTCCTTTCTAAACTTGACTTCATCTGTGGAAAGTTTGAGTCTCAGAGATTGTCAATTACATGGGGAATTCCCAAGTGAAAATTTTCAGCTTCCATACCTTCAACATATAGATTTAGGTTGGAATGAAAATCTCACAGGTTATCTGCCTAAGACAAACCTGAGTCGTGCCCTTAAGTTGTTGGACCTTTACTATTGTGGTTTTAGAGGGTCAATTCCTGCATCATTTGGAAATCTCACTCAAATTATTTCCATAGATTTATCTGGAAATAGTTTTGCTGGACAGATTCCAGATTTTTTTGGAAACCTCAACAAATTAACTTTTTTGACATTTTATTCCTGCAATTTTAGTGGTCAGCTTCCAATAACAATGTTCAACCTCACACAAATCACCGAGCTAGATTTGTCAAATAACCGATTAGAAGGTCCCCTGCCAAATCATGTTAGTGAGCTTCAATTGCTTGAGGTATTTCGGTTATCTAATAACTCTGTAAGTGGTGGAGTACCATCTTGGCTGTTTACTTTGCCATCATTGCAAAATCTAGACCTCAGCCATAACAAACTCACCGGTCCAGTTGACCAAATTCAGAAGCCTAATTCTGTCAAATATGTTGATTTGAGTTCTAATAACATTCATGGTCCAATACCCAGTTCTTTTTTTGATCTTGTGAACCTTAGCACGCTTCATATTTCATCAAACAACTTGAGTGGTGTCATCGAGTCAAATATGCTCTCGAAGCTTCAAAATCTTTATGATCTTGATCTTTCGAATAATGGTTTACTATCATTAAGCACTAGCGGCAATGATGTTAACTATTCCTTCCCTCAGCTTTCTAAAGTGTCATTCTCTTCTTGTAGCATAAGACAGTTCCCAAATTTCTTTCGAACATCAAAGTTAGAGTTTTTAGATCTTTCTAATAACAAGATTTCTGGTGGAATTTCCAAATGGGAAGCTGAAGGATGGGAACAATTGACCATGTTGAACCTTTCCTACAACTTTCTGACCACTTTGGAGCAATTCCCAGGAAAGAGACTTGAAGTTCTTGACCTTCATTCCAACTTGCTTCAAGGGCCAATTCTCTCAACCTGCTTGAATCTTCAAATGCCAAATCCACCACTATTCTTGAGCATATTTTTGATTTCAGAGAATAACTTGACCGGAAATATCCCTTCCCTGATTTGCAATTGGACATCGCTTGTGGTTCTCGACTTGTCTAAAAATAGCTTGAGTGGAACTATTCCAGAATGTCTAGGAAATTTCAGCTACTCTCTCAAGTTCATGAATTTGCAGATGAACAACTTTTCTGGCAAAATCCCTGATTCTTTTATGAACAATCTGCTGAAAAATCTTTTCCTCAATGACAATCAAATGGATGGATTGCTACCGAGATCTTTGGCTAATTGTAGTTACTTGGAAGTTCTAAATTTAGGGAACAACAAGTTAACTGACACCTTTCCCCATTGGTTAGCTTCACTTCCGAGTCTGCAAGTTCTTATCTTGCGATTTAATAGATTGCATGGTTCCATTCCCAATTCCATAGCTTCATCTAACTTTTCTGCATTGAGAATAATTGATCTCTCAGGAAATGAGTTCACCGGCCCCTTGCCAACAAAATTGGTCCAAAATTTGAGAGCAATGAAAGATGTACCGAAACAGAAACCTTCAGAGCCATTCTTATACAAGAGTACAGATCGTAGAGTTGGATATGCCTATGATTATTACCAAATTTCTGTGAATGTAACAATGAAAAGATTGGAGATTGAGTTGGTGAAAACCTTGGCCATTTTCATAGCCATGGACTTTTCAAACAACCTATTCTGTGGACAAATTCCTGAGGCGCTTGGAGAACTTATTTCTCTGCAAATGCTCAACTTCTCTCACAACAACTTTACTGGTTCTATCCCACCATCTTTAGGAAATCTGGTAGCACTTGAATCGTTGGATCTCTCATCAAACAAGCTTGGTGGCGGAATTCCTTCCCAATTGACGAATCTGACATTCCTTGCAGTGTTAAACCTGTCAGAAAATAATCTTGTCGGACCAATTCCCCATGGGAATCAATTTGGCACGTTTGATAATGATTCTTACAGCGGTAACTTGGGATTGTGTGGCTTACCATTGTCAGAAAAATGCGGCAATGAAGAGAAACGAAAACCACCTGCACCGAAGTTTAAAGAAGATGAAGATTCTGCAATACCCTTCATTTGGAAACTTGCAATGATGGGTTACGGATGTGGACTGATGCTAGGATTGAGTAGTGGATATATTGTGTTCACAACTGGAAGACCATGGTGGTTTGTGAGAATGGTTGAGAGAGATTGGCAAAAGAATGTTACAAAGTGGATTCGCAGCAATAAAGGAAGAAGAAACTAGCACACATCCAAAATGCATAGATGAGTTTTAACTTAAACTATTTCAAATAAACTAAAGGTGTTTCTCTTTTGCCAAAGTAGAATTATAATTGGTTTCCCTTGCTTTTTATTCTGTTTGTCATAGTGGCATTCGAGCTGAATCCAAGCCAAGATGCACCCCTGCTGGGTTTATTTACTGTGGCTGTGTGTTCATTGAAAATCTGAATGGTTGAACAACTCGAGTAATTTGATCCAGGGTATTCTTAGCGGGTAGCTTGCTTTACTGGTTCAGCTTTTATCATATGGGTATCTTCATTTCTAAATTCGTATTTATGGGCTGTCGTTACTTTTGTGTGGCAATATGCCAATATGCCCTGTTTTATTTGTCAGCTTTGTTCTTTCTTTTGGAAAACATGTGGCTTTCATTTGGTTTTTCTGTAATTTTCTTAACAAAACTTTTCAAATGTTCAAAGATAAAGCAAATTTTGTCACCTTTATTTAAGTTGTTTATCATTAGAAATCCTTGCTGTAAACTTAAAGATTGGATATCCATTGTTTGAGTAACTAAGATTTTTTTTTATCTAATAAAGCTGTCATGATTTGAACCTAATTATTAAAATTAAAAGTTTAAAACTTTACAGACAGGCTCCTCTGCTTTAGAAAATGAATTTTATGGCATTTTTATTCGGAAAAGAACATGTTTATTCCGATATCAGCTACTAATTTTTCTCTCTAGTATTATAATTTCTAAGGGAAAGTTTCAACAGTGGTTTCAAACAACACAGTCTATTCTAGAGAAATCAGATCAGAAAAATTCAGAGGACCTAAGGAAATTCTTAGGAAAGAGTTGTACAATACTGTTATGGAACATCAAGAAGTAAAAGTTCAGCGTTCCCCCCACAGATTATTTTATTTTGCTTAATATATGCTTAACTTTAAGATTTGATATCCATTTTTAGAGTAATTAAGATTTTTTTTGGTATCTAAAGCTGTCATGATTTGAACCTAATCATTAAGATTAAAAGTTTAAAACTTAACAGGCCATTCTTGCTTTAGAAAATTACTTTTACGTCATTTTTATTCGGAAAGAACAAGTTGATTCTGACATCTGCTACTAATTTTTTCCTCTGGTATTATAATTTCTAAAGGAAAGCTTCAACAGTGGTTTCAAGCGACAGTCTATTTCGGAGAAACTATATCAAAAAAATTCAAAGGACCTAAGGAAATTCTTAGGAAAGAGTCCTACAGTACAGTTATGGCACATCATCAAGTAAAAGTTCAACGTTCACTGATTATTTTATTTTACTTAAAGATCTAAACGATTGAGTTCAAATCGATACAATATTAAATTCAAGTTCAAGCTCAATTTCAAATTCGAAACTCAAAATTTTACTCAAACTCGATCGAATTTTATTTGTTTAGCTCGAGTTCGACTAGAGATAAAAATCGAGTTATTCGAACTCGTTCGATTAAGCTCGATTAACATATAAAAATAAATTTGATTCTTATATTTAACACAAACTCGATTATTTGTGCTCAAACTCGAATTCGAATTCAAAATATTTTATTAATTAAAATATAAAAATTTGATTAAGCTCATGAGTAACTCAAGCTGGATATAAGAATATTCAAACTCAGCTCGATCAATAAGTTAATCTACTTGAATTCGAGCTTGACTCGATAATAAACGAATTGAATTCAAATTTTATTCGAATTAAATCCAAATAACTTGTAAATAATAATGTATCATTTATCCCTTAATTTTGCTTAATATATGCTTAACCTATATTCTGGTTTCTTTAGGCCTCAAACTAGTAGTACTGTTTTTTTTTTAATTTCTTTTTGAAGTACTAGTTGTTGATTATTGGGCTGAAAAATTCAAATCTTAGTTTTGCTATTAACCAATAACATGTATTTTCCAATTCTTGCTCCTTGAGGCCATAAAAGAAAATTTCTTGCCACCTAATAGTTCAATTCTATCAATGAATTCAAAGGAATATTTTTTTACAAAAAAAATTAAAGATAAGGAAAAATTTTCTCAAAACATGGAAGACTGTAGACATACGAAATAATTTATATTAAATTTATAAATCATTTCTCGAGAAAACTTTAGATAACAAAAATTAAATATAAGTCTTATCAGTAAAATATTCAATCTTTACAAACTTAATCAATATTTGTTGAGCTTTGTCAAACAAATATTTTCTTATACATCAAATGTTATTTATCCATCTGAACGCTTTTTTCCTTTCACACAACAAAAATAATGAACTTAAATAAAGAAACAGTTAAGTCACTATCATTTTAGGGTCAGAGAAACCAGCAAGACTTTTCACATTAGCAGGAGATCACAGCATATTTTTCGGTAGTCTGCCCTTATATTTAAATATAAACTCTTATTTAAATATAACGCGTAATTGAAGTTGATTTGGTTGGCATATGGTTGACGAAGGCGATCTCAAGTACAAATTAAGTCAGTATTATATGCTCAAAGGCTTGGTCTCTTTATAACTTGGCTCACGATGCTTGACTATTTGGGCAAGGAATCAATCAGAGAAGAGAAGTCGTTGGAAAGCGACATGAATCATGATCGTTGAATGATCTCATGCAGGAGCAAAACATTGCAACTACTGGGTTTCTTGTAGTTTTCCTTTTTTTTTTTAAATACTTTTTAGCCGATGTCTGATTAATTTTCCCGTAGTTGGTATTCTAAAGTTTGCTACAACGGTGGGTTTAAGTAAGAAAATGATTCTGTTTTGGAACGGCCAGAAAAAGATGTGGACTGCTTTGGAAATTCCCACGGAAGAGTGATTGATTGCTTTACCAGTTATGGAACAAATTGTGCGGTGTGAACATCCCTAATTACGATGTCATTTATGGCACTGAACTTTGACCCTTTAGGCAAAGACAACTGGAATTTTGCGAAAGTCTTCAATGTAAACACTGATGTGATCAATAAATTATTGTATATAGAACCTGCAAGGAAGCAATGACCGCCTCAAATCTCGATCACCAAAATAATTTACGCAAAATTTGTTGCCCTGCTCTTATCACAGGCTTCATTCTGTCTAATTAAAAATGATTCAATTTTATATTTTTATTTGTAAAGTCCGAGTAAAATAATCTATAGCAAAGTATTTTGCTATAGAAAATTCTTAACACAATGAGCTAATTTTCAACACTTGATAACATGAAATGTAATGGAAAACAGCTTTAAAGTCTCGGTTAACGTAGAAAACATCCGTCCTCATCTCTCCAGTAGTAACTCATTGACAGGGTCACTCCCTTGTTTCTCAGCTTTGTTTTTCCTGAGAAAATATGGTCGTTGGGATGTTAAATCAAATCCTTTTCCTGATTTTAGCGATCTTCTATTTCCAGGTTGATTGTCTTCGTTCATCGACTCATTTATGTCTCCCAGAGCAGAAAGCTGCTTTGCTAGAATTCAAGAACACCATTTCTCTTTCTGATTATTGTGTTCAATTTATTTCCCCCAGGACAAATTCCTGGAACGAAACCACAGATTGCTGTTCTTGGGAGGGAGTCAGCTGCAACCAGTTGACTGGTCATGTAATTGCCGTTAATCTTAGTGGCAGCTGCCTTTACGGTTCTCTCCCTGCAAACACCAGCCTCTTCCAGCTTCAAGGACTCCAACGACTCGACCTTTCTGACAACAATTTCAATGGCTCTATCCCATCAGAATTATTTCGTCAGTTAGTGAGTTTAACCCATCTTAATCTCTATCATTCTGGATTCTCTGACTTAATCCCACATGAAATTTGTCTCCTATCCAATTTGGATTCACTTGATCTTTCCAGTTATTCTTCTCCTGCCAGCTTGAGATTTGATGCCGAAGGTTTTGACATGCTTGCACGAAACTTAACCAAATTAAGAGACCTTGCCCTTCAATATGTAGATATGTCTGGTGTTGCAGTCACTTCCTTTCTAAACTTGAGTTCATCTCTAGAACGTTTGAGTCTCGGATATTGTCAATTACATGGGCAATTTCCAAGTGAAGTTTTCCGTCTTCCATACCTCCAACATGTAGATTTAGGTTGGAATCAAAATCTCACAGGTTTTCTCCCTAAGACAAACTTGAGTCTTGCCCTTGAGCTGATGGACCTTTCCTTTTGTCGTTTTAGTGGGTCAATTCCTGCATCATTTGGAAATCTCACTCAAATCACCTTCCTAGATTTTTCTGAAAATGATTTTGGAGGACAAATTCCAGATGCTTTTGAAAACCTTAACAAATTAACTACTTTGAAATTTTCTTCCTGCAATTTTAGTGGTCAAGTTCCATTAACAATGTTCAAGCTCACACAAATTACCCATCTAGATTTGTCACATAATCGAGTAGAAGGTGCCCTGCCAAATCATGTTGATCAGCTTCAATTGCTTGAAGAATTATCGTTATCTAATAACCTTATAGGTGGTGGAGTACCATCTTGGTTGTTTACTTTGCCATCTTTGCTAAATTTAGACCTCAGCTATAACAAACTCACCGGTCAGATTGAGGAAATTCAGATGCCTAATTGTGTCCAATCTATTGATTTGAGTTCTAATGACATTCATGGTCCAATACCCAGTTCTTTTTTTGATCTTGTTAACCTTAGCACACTTCATCTTTCATCAAACAACTTGAGTGGTGTCATCGAGTCAAATATGCTCTTCAAACTGGAAAATCTTTATACTCTTGATCTTTCAAACAATAGTTTACTATCATTAATCACCAGCGGCAATGATGTAAACTATTCCTCTCGTCAGCTTGTTAGAGTGTTATTCTCTTCATGTAGCATAAGACAGTTTCCAAGTTTTTTTCGGACATCAAGGTTAGAGGTTTTGGATCTTTCCAATAACAAGATTTCTGGCGGAGTTTCCAAATGGGATGCAGAAGGGTGGGTAGAATTGAACATGTTGAATCTTTCTTACAACTTTCTTACCAGTTTGGAGCAATTTCCAGGAAAATATCTTCAAATTCTTGATCTTCATTCCAACATGCTTCAAGGGCCAATTCTCTCAACTTGCTTGAATCTTCAAATGCCAAATCCACCACTATTCTTGAGCATATTTTTGATTTCAGAGAATAAATTGACCGGAAATATCCCTTCCCTGATTTGCAATTGGACATCCCTTGTGGTTCTCGACTTGTCTAAAAATAGCTTGAGTGGAACTATTCCAGAATGTCTTGGAAATGCCAGCAGTGCTCTCCAGTTCTTGAATTTGCAGATGAATAACTTTTATGGCAAAATCCCTGATTCTTTTATGAATAATATGTTGAGAAATCTTTTGCTCAATGACAATCAATTGGAAGGATCACTGCCTCGATCTTTGGCTAACTGTAGTTCTTTGGAAGTTCTCAATTTAGGGAACAACAAATTAACTGATACGTTTCCCCATTGGTTAGCTTCACTTCCAAGGCTGCAAGTTCTTATCCTGCGATTGAATAGATTGCATGGTTCTTTGCCCAATTCCATAGCTTCTTCTAACTTTTCCACATTGAGAATAATTGATCTCTCTGGAAATGAGCTCACTGGCCCCTTGCCAACAAATTTATTCCAAAATTTGAGAGCAATGAAAGATGTACCTAAACTGCCCTTGTCAGAGGCATATTTATTCAAGACAGATGCTCGAACTAGATATGTTTATGAGTACTACCAAAGTTCTGTGAATGTGACAACAAAAAGATTGGAGATTGAGTTGGTGAAAACCTTGGCCATTTTCGTAGCCATGGACTTTTCAAACAACCTATTCGGTGGACAAATTCCTGAGGAACTTGGAGAACTTATTTCGCTACAAATGCTCAACTTCTCTCACAACAGCTTCACTGGTCCTATCCCACCATCTTTAGGAAATATGGTAGCACTTGAATCGTTGGATCTCTCATCAAACAAGCTTGGTGGCACAATTCCGTCCCAATTGACGAATCTGACATTCCTTGCAGTGTTAAACCTTTCAGAAAATAATCTTGTCGGACCAATTCCCCATGGGAATCAACTTGATACGTTTGATAACGATTCCTACAGCGGTAACTTGGGATTGTGTGGCTTACCATTGTCAAAACAATGCAACAACCGTGAGGGACCAAAACCACCTGCACCAATGTTTGAGGAACATGAAGGTTTTTCAATACCCTTTATTTGGAAAGTAGCAATGATGGGGTATGGAAGTGGAGTGGTGTTAGGATTGAGCATGGGATACATTGTTTTCACAACTGGAAGACCATGGTGGATTGTTAGAAAGATCGAGAGAGATTGGCAGAAGAAAGTTTCATTTTGGATCCATGGACGAAGAAGAAACTAGCAGTACATCCAGACCATGCCTAGGTGAGGGTTTTCCTAGTTTTTTCCTACTTCTCAGAGTGGCGTTCAAACCGAATCCAGTGAATCTTGTTTGAATAAATTCTGACTAGAAAAAGCAAGTGTTCAGCTTTGGGTGTTCATTGAATATCTGAATGATTGTAACACAACTTGTGTAATATGTATTATTCAAGGTGTTGGTGTAGATCGCTTTACTTGCTCTCAGCTTATCATATAGATATGGATGTGTCTTCATTTGTAAATTTATGTGTTTTTATTTTATTTAATTTTTGTGACAATATATTATGCTTTGTTTTAACATTTGCTTATGAGATGTTAAAGTAATTGTTCCACTAAGTGTATATAGTTTTTTTTTAAAGTAATTATCCCTATTGTTTTAAAAAAAATTTCTTGCAAGCCTCTAAATTAAATCATTTTTCTTAAGTTGACTTAAAAAAAAATTCAAGATTAAATATTCGATTTTTTTTTTTCAAATATTTTATTTGAAACTTTAATTTTATTAACAATAAGTTCATTTGATAAATAAATTAAAAAAAAAACCAATATTATCATAACACGTGTTATGTTTTATTCATCAAATATTTATTGCGCTAGTCAATAATGGGTGCTGGAGCGCAGACGTGCAAGGAAGGCTGGAGAGTCCCCCGACGCCAGCAGTACCACTCTCCTTTGCGCTCCCGACGCCCATTCTTCCGCCAATATTGCCAACTGATTTCTTATTCTCATCCTCTAATGGTCTGACGTCGATTAGCTTCAGGTCAAGATACTATCCAAACCATCACCTATCGAGGCCGATCACAACACGGCCATGGAGTGTCTGGTTTTCGAGGGGATTAGAGTGAATGCAGTTAGGACCTCCCGAGGATTCCTCTTGGTTTACTCTCTGCGTGGTGATTTGATTCGTAGACAGGTAATTTTTCTTTTAAATTTTTAACATTTTTGAAGTCGGTTTGTTTGTTATTGTTATCTTAAAAAGTTAAAATTTTATTTACTGAATGTTGGGTCTGTTTATGTGTTTAATTTTAGAAAATTTTATGCTTTGCTTACTACAATAAGAAATGTTTATTTTTCTGTTGGCAAAGTTTTATTGATGTGGTAGAATGCAAGTATGGTACAGTTGAAGAAAGTGCAAGTGAAATGAATGTAATTGGTGTTTTTGTAGACGTTTTTATAAACTTAAAAAGTCTTCTTATATTAAATGCTGTAAAAATGAAGCTCTCTCTCTCTCTATATATATATATATATATTTATATATATTTGTTTCAACTTTCAAGTATATAATTTGATTTTTCAACTGTTAAAATTTAATTAAAACATTAATTTAAAATTCGAATTCAAATTTTTTTAAATGAGAGGACTGAATCTATTAGATTAAAGAGGGTTATCTTTAATATATTTTATGATCTAAGGGACCTAGATATAATAAATCCTCATATGCAAAATCATATATATATATATATATATATATATATACACTTGTATTATGTATATTCGATTATAATTAATGAATAAGATTAAAATCATATATTTTATCAATTGTAACCAAATAGACTTGTGAGAAGCTAAAGTTTTTAATTGATGCAAGGTATATAAAAATTAATTGTCTCATATATTTATTAAGAAATTTTATATAATTCTACACACGTTTAATTTCTTTTATCTTTTTTTTATTTGGGATTGATGTATATTTTTTGATGTTCTTTATATGACTCAATATTTAATATTATTAACATATTTCAATTTTATTGAATTTTGTCTTTGCATTTTTTCTTTGATTTAAAAAAAAAATTAAAAATATAGTAATAAAATTCCAAAAAATTAAAATATAAATAATAAAATTCAACATTAACTCATAATATACCGATAAATTTGACATTAATTTCTTAATGATTTGCTTACATTCATTTTCGACTTCTCGAGCTCATGAAGAAATTAAAAATTGGACCTTTGGGCTCATGGGACATGAATGAACAAAGAAAGTTCGGATATAGATTGTCTTTTGCTAGTTGCTAGTGTTACATGGCCCAGGCTAGCAAAAAGACAGGTAGAGCCTAAAGAAGTTAAAAATTGGGCCCTTGGGTTTATTGGACAATTTTTGGTTCACCTTTACAAATTGGGCTTTACAAAAACAATGTTTTATGGGTCAAGGAGTTTCGAAATGGGTTTTATTTGGCCCATAAACCTTTTTGTTCTGTATATAAGCTTTTACTTTAGCTAATTGATTTTTGGTCTAAAGTTTATTTAGCTAATTAAATATCTATTCGCAGCACTTTCCAACCAACCTATGGGAATATAGGGGAGAGGATCCTCTTCTTTATTTAAAAATTTCAGTCAAAGTTTTTATTACTTCATATAAAGGTAATAAATGCACTTTAAATTAAATGTATGATTGAAATTTAATAATTTAATTTAAATATAAAAATTAATTAAAAAAAATATTTTAAAAAATATTCATTATATATTTAATTGAAAGTGTATTTATTACTCGTAAATAAAATAACGAAAATTTTCATTAATTTTTAAATAATAAAAAGATCCTTTCCCAAGAATATGACTTTTGTGTCAATTTTTGCTTCTCCCTATTGCAATTAATGGGTTTTGGGGACATTTCTGCTTCTTTTTTCCATAATTCAGTATCAGGATCTTAGTTTGGTAAATTTACATTTTGTTCTGAATTTGTTGTAATTACATGAGAAATAAACCTAATTGACATCATGTTATAAAGTAGCTTGTTAATATGGTAGATAGCTACTTTTTTTTTTTTTTTTTTATATATAGGAGATGACGATTTAAAAAATAAAAAAAAATACAGATTTTAGAACTCAATATTCAGAAATCATTTTTTTTTCTAAATGTACCACCCACAACTGTTTTAGAAGTTCATAAATGAAACATATACGCATCGCTCCCTTAAATATGAAAGGGACTTGAAAACTCATATTTCACATTCATTGCTTGATCCAACTAAAAAAGAAAATTATGCAAACGAATCTAGTAAAAAAGATTTGGAATATACCAAATAAATGTCACATCACCTCCTCAAGTTGGCAATCTTTTTCAACAAAATAAATATTCTCTTCCTTTAAGATAATGGATTTGAAAGTGGATTTTCTTTGGTACATGAATGTGGATTTTCATGATTTAATATTAATACCTTCTTTAATAATAATAAAAAAAAAATTCCACTTTATCTTGAACTCGCATAACAATTTGTAATCCCTTTCCAATTTGTCTGCTGGGTGCTAAAAGCTGATTCTAGAGATCCAAGGCATGTTACCTCTCATCTACTGAAGAAATAGTGAGACATTTTATCTTTTAATCAACCTCTTTAACACTTGATCTTTCATCTCAGACAATATAAATAATATAATGATTTAATTACATTATTATTAATAAATTTATTTATCAATATAAATTGTATGTGCAATTGTTTTTTCAACAATAAAAAAATAAACTCTATATGATTGTCTTATTTCTATGCATATTAATAGTTTTGATTTCATTATATTTGTATTTTTATTTGATGTCAAAATTATATCATAAATTTTGAATTAAATATATTAAATCATAATTTATTTTTTCTTTTCAAATTTAATCATAGCTCTACACACATATATATATATTAAATTTATTAAATTAAGATGTTAAATAATATTTTTAAATAATATATAATTAAATAAATAATAAAAAATATTATATATATATTAAGTCCGAAGCGTAACATCTAAAACTTTATTGTAGTTTGAACTTGATTTTAAAAAAAAAAAACTCAACTTAATTATCTTAAATTAAAAAAAAATATCAATTCTATTAGGACAAATCAAAATTCATTGAATATAAATAATTTTATCATTTTTATCTCAATTGATTTTTTTTATTATAAAATTTATCTAATACAAAATAAAATTAAAAAAATAAAAAAAAATAAATATATTTTTTATTGTGTTTTGCATGAAATGAAAAAGTAGCTATAAGTCAATCATCTGATGATCGATCAACACATTTTTATTTGATAAAGAGTAACTTTAATCAAATTTGAAAAGAATATTTCACTGTGTCATCGACGGTATTAAAACCCGTTGTCAATGTCATCACCTTAATTTCTCTTTCTCAACCTATAATCTTTTTATTTTTTATGATGTTATGCTGTTTGTAATTTCAATTATAAGAATTTTCATTAGAAGATCTCGTAAAACTGCCAAAAGTAATTTGTTACCTCTGGATGGAGAAAACACAAAAAATATATATATTTATTTATTCATGATTAATTATTGAAAAAGAAACTTCTACAATTATTTTCTCAAATACACAAAATGAACAAAGTGTAAGGGCATTTTTGCCATAAAATAAAACGATCAATAGTTGTCATGGTCAAAAGCGCGTAAGACTAAAATGAAGTGTAATTGAAGTTTTGGGGGGGGGGAGACATATGGTTGACGAAGACAATCGTAAGTCCAAATTAAGGCAATCTTATTTGCACAAAGACTTGACCTCTTTTTCATAAAAAGAAAAAAAAAATGGTCTGTTTATGACTTTTGCTCACGTGCTTGACCAGTTGGCCACGGAATCAATTTTATGCAGCTGCATAAAATTGCAAATACAAGGTTTTTTTTTTGGCATTCCTTTATTACTTTTTAGCTAATATATGATTAATTTTCCATTAGTTGATATCCTAAAGTGTGCTTTCGAAATTCTTATGGTAGTTTGATTGCCTTACCGCTTATGAAAAAAATTATGCAAAGATGGTAAAATTTCATGAAATTTAAATATCGCTAAAGTTGATTTGGGATCAAAATCCATTTGGATTGACTAAAATGGCTTAAATTTAAAAAATTTTGAAATGAAAAAAAAATTCAAATCAAGTTGGTAATCTTATTCAACAAAATAAATATTTTCTTCCTTTAAGATAATGGATTTGAAAGTGGATTTTTTTTGGTACATGAACGTGGATTTTCATGATTGAACATTAATACCTTCTTTAATAATAATAAAAAAAATCCACTTTATCTTGAACTCGCATAACAATTTGCAATCCCTTTCCAATTTGCCTGCTGGGTGCCAAAAGCTGATTCTAGAGATCCATGGCATGTTCCCTCTCATCTACTGAAGAAATAGTGAGACATTTTATCTTTTAATCAACCTCTTTAGCACTTGATCTTTCATCTCAGACAAATACATGAAAATTAAATAATAATAAAATCTCCTCGCCTCTTTTTGAACTGGAAGTAACAATTGTTCGAATGCAGCTAGCTAAAATGCCCTACGATACATTTTCTATATATGAAAAAAATACATAAATATGTGTAATGAGAATACACATTTTTTAGCTTCCAACCCCAAACCAATCCAAGCCAAGCCAAATCAACAGGTACCCTCCTTTACATGCATCATCTTCCCCAAGCCAATGATTGGATCACCCTCCACATGTCAAATCCACAACATCATTATTACTAGTGATAAACAAATATGCTTTAATGATTTAATTATATTATCATTAATAAATTTATTTATCAACATAAATTGTATGTGCATTTGTTTTTCCAACAATAAAAAAATAAATTCTATATGATTGTCTTATTTCTATGCACACTAATAAGTTTTGATTTCGTTATATTTATATTTATATTTGATGTTAAAATCATATGTTATCTTTTAATATGAGTTTAATTATAAAAAATAAAAAATTTTATTTAAATTAAAATTTATCAAAAAATTCACAAATGGCATTTTGATTGATTATTTTTAACATTTTTTAAATTAAAATTTTATTAAATATATTTTAGTCAATTATTTTTAGTACTTTTAAATTTAATTATGAAAAAGAGTCTAATAATAAAAAATACATTTAAATTAAAATTTATGAAAAGAATTACTTAGGGTATTTTAATAAATTACTTTTAACACTTTTAG